CCCCTGATACAATGTTGAACTTGCAATATATTGGGCCTCGGAAGACGGGTTACGGGCTTGGCTTCAACATTGTAACTAGGGGAGAGAGGTCCGCACGCAGCGGGCGATGCCACAGAAATGGTGTCAACATGTGCATTGGTGGCGCTTGCAATATTTAGGGCTTCCACTGTCTGGGGTGAGCAATTTCAGCAAGGCTGTGTTTGCCTTCCAAAACAGCCTAGACATGTGAAACTTGTGAAACTTGGAAAGAGCTCGTCCTGAAACTTGTTGGTATTTGCGTGAAACTCGTGAAACTCGTGAAACTTGGAAGAAAAATAAGTAAGGGTTATTTTTCTTCCAAATTTCATGAGTTTCACGAGTTTCACGCAAATACCAACGAGTTTTAGCACGAGTTCTGGCCAAGTTTCACAAGTTTCGCCACTGTGGCTAGCGTGGCGTTGTTGGCCGAGGCGATGGAGCCGTTCATGGCCGCCGTGGTGCTGTAGTTGGACAGCTTCAGGTCCACGCCGTCCGGCACGTCCAGGAAGGCCGACTGGTCTGCCTTGTTGGAGAGACCGGTGGTCAGCGAGCTCTCACAGGGCAAGTCTCTCCAAAGTCTTCGCACGCAGACAAAGAGACGGTGAGGAGCGATGGCTGCGGACGCTAAAGTCTTCGCACGCAGACAAAGAGACGGTGCGGAGTGATGGCCGCGGACGCAAAAAACGATGGACAGTCTACACGAGATGGTCTGGGGTGAGCAGTTTCAGCAAGACTGTGTTTGCCTTCCAAAGCAGCCTAGACATGTGAAACTTGTGAAATTTGGAAAGAGCTCGTCCTGAAACTTGTTGGTATTTGCGTAAAACTCGTGAAATTCGTGAAACTTGGAAGAAAAATAAGTAAGGGTTTTTTTTCTTCCAAGTTTTACGAATTTCACGAGTTTCATGAGTTGCATGCAAATACCAACGAGTTTCAGCACGAGTTCTGGCCAAGTTTCATAAGTTTCGCATGTTTGTGCGCAGGCAGGCATCTCCAAAGCCTTGCAGGTTGTACACGTGTGTGGGCTGAACAGGATAAGTCTTTCCAAAGTCTTCGCACGCAGACAAAGAGATGGTGCGGAGCGATGGCTGCGGACGCCAAAATCTTCGCACGCAGACAAAGAGACGGTGCGGAGTGATGGCCGCGGACGCAAAAAACGATGGATAGTCTACGCGAGACGGTCTGGGGTGAGTAATTTCAGCAAGATTGTGTTTGCCTTCTAAAATAGCCTAGACATGTGAAACTTGTGAAACTTGGAAAGAGCTCGTCTTGAAACTTGTTGGTATTTGCATGAAACTCGTGAAACTCGTGAAATTTGGAAGAAAAATAAGTAAGGGTTATTCTTCTTCCAAATTTTACGAGTTTTACGAGTTTTACGCAAATACCAACGAGTTTTAGCACGAGTTCTAGCCAAATTTCACAAGTTTCACATATCTGTGTGAAGGCAGGCGTCTCCAAAGCCTTGTAGGTTGTACACGTGTGTGGGCTGAACAGGGTAAGTCTCTCTAAAGTCTTCGCACGCAGATAAAGAGACGGTGCGGAGCGATGGTTGCGGACGCCAAAGTCTTCGTATGTAGACAAAGAAACGGTGCGGAGTGATGGCCGCGGACGCAAAAAACGATGGACAGTCTACGCGAGACGGTCTGGGGTGAGCAGTTTCAGCAAGGCTGTGTTTGACTTCCGAAGCAGCCTAGACATATGAAACTTGTGAAACTTGGAAAGAGCTCGTCCTGAAACTTATTGGTATTTATGTGAAACTCGTGAAACTCGTGAAACTTGGAAGAAAAATAAGTAAGGGTTATTTTTCTTCCAAATTTCACGAGTTGCACGAGTTTCACGCAAATACCAACGAATTTTAGCACGAGTTCTGGCCAAGTTTCACAAATTTCATATGTCTGTGCGAAGGCAGGGTTGTACACGTGGGTTGAACAGGGCAAGTCTCTCCAAAGTCTTCGCACGCAAACAAAGAAACGGTGCGGAGCGATGGCTGCGGACGCCAGTCTTCGCACGCAGACAAAGAGACGGTGCGGAGCGATGGCCGCGGACGCAAAAAACGATGGACAGTCTACGCGAGACGGCTGAAGCCCTAAATATTGCAAGTGCGGAGCAGAAAACAAAGGGCACGGTCCACTAAGGGAAGCACTGTGACATAATATCTGTGGTCCCCCTTCTCCTAATACAATGTTGAACTTGCAATATATTGGGCCTCGGAAGACGGGTTACGGGCTTGGCTTCAACATTGTAACTGGGGGAGAGAGGTCCGCACGCAGCGGGCGATGCCACAGAAATGGTGTCAACATGTGCATTGGTGGCGCTTGCAATATTTAGGGCTTCCATTATATCAAATCGAAAAAAACAATTCCATCAAACAAAATATTATGATTTATAACCATATTCAATTTAATATATTTTATAATTATATTTTTAATATTCTATTTATGTATTTAGGTTTATTTCTTTTTATAGATTTTCTAAAGCACTATAATACACAAAGCAACAAAGGATTGGCAATCTATAATATAATAAACAATTCAGTTCAAATCTTCAATTCGAGATACTCGAGGACATTAACGACAAAATAGAATCGAGAGATAAAATCTTGCCCACCCACAGCCCAGCGCCACTTTAGGCACGGAGATTATATCGCCCCGATCCGAAAATAAATCCCAAATGAAACGCCGAGAATCTCGATCCAAAAGACATAAATTCCTCGTAACTCAAGGAATAATAACTCTAAGGGAAATAGTTGTAAAGGACACCGACATACATCAGAAGTGATCGAAATACTCATCGAGAGCAACAGACAAAATCAAGGCAACCAATTCATCATCCTTAGAGTATATATCCAAAATCACCTATATATATCGCCAAGCGCCGCCTCCCAATGCCTTTCACATGCCAAATAATAACTTCTCTGCAATTCAAATAAAATTCGGATTTTAAATTAAGTCCATATAATCCCAAAATATAGAATATGTTTTTCATCCACCATACAAATAAAGGATCGAAACAATCCTTTTCCCTCAATATCCAATACACCCATATTTCCCAAACCAAAAACTCATAACCAATATTTTAAGCCTTACATCGACTCCAATACATTTGTATTCGACAAATAATTTAATTTAATATATATATATATAATATAATTTCAATATATTATAATTTTATTAATTATATTATATCAATTAAATATATATAAATATATCTTCTGCCCATAAAAGGATCGAACCACCAACCAATTCATAATAATTCACTAAAATAATTATATATTATTTTTCATATTTATAAAATTATCTTAAATTATTTTTATATCTTTTAATATAAATATAATATATTTTTATATTCTTAATCTATTTATATTAATATAATAATATATATTATACCATTAAAAATTAAATAATTTCAATTTTCAATAAATAATTTTATTTTCCTTTAATTTTTAATACAAATATAACATTTTTCTACACAAACCCAATCATGCTACATCAATTCAATTATCTTCAAACATATATATATATATCCAAATATAATTAATTATTAATTCTATTTATTTATATATATAATATATAATATAATACATTATCTTTATAATTCATTATCAATATACTTTATAATTTTGATTTTATATTCTCAAATTTTTCAAAATTCAAATATTTTAAATTTATAATTTATCCTATGTTATCAAGATCAAACCAAATCAACAAAACAAACACCATAAATCATAATCAAACACCCCACACCAAAACTAAACATCCAAACACCGAAACCAAATCCACGCACATACTATGAATTTAATACATTAAAACATCAACTTTTCCAAAAACACAATTTAATAATCTTCGTGAATAAATATAGATGGCACATTCAAATAATAAGATAAAACTTCAAACAATCATCACACCGAATACACATATTTATATATCTGTATATATATATATATATATCTACGTCTTTGTTCGCCATATTATCGGAATTCATTTGCTACACAAAAAGCAATCGTGTCATTTGGCCGTTGCCAGTTTCCAATCCATTTCATAAGAACACACACTTCCGGCCTGTGCGATTAAATGGATTGGATGGTGCAACTTCCTACCTACGATGCACATGCAGCTGTGTGACTTGTCCACAAGCATGTGCCATGACTTTTACAACATTCCAGCGCTCACTCGGGGGCATGCTCCCCAGATCAGAATTGCTCACACGGGTCGAAAATCGTCATTTGTCTGGCCACTGTTCAGGTTTACGTGAAAATCGAGGAAGCATGCGGGTACTGCAAGGGTGACAATGCGGTTGCCAGCTTTGGCACTTGCCGCAAATTCCGGTGCATTTTTGCAGTGGCCGCTGCGGAGAGCATGCGTGGATGTCCAACCCTAGGTTGCAACCCACTGGGGGAACTGTGGTTGCAAGCTACTTACTGAGTGGGTTGAAGATCCAAGCAGCTTGTCCATATGAAACACCAGGCATCCCATTTTGGTTTGGACAGTTTTGAACATTCTTTGGCGCGAATGATCCTGATTGGATCTATAACTGCGCGACTCAGCAGCAAAAATTCTCCGATGGGGGCGGACCAACCTGGACAAAGGACTCACAGCGCACCTTAGCGCAAGAAGACGACGCGTCCCCTAGGAACCACCAAAACCTAGCTGCGCTGTGTGGCCTCGAGTCCGAAGGGCGAGCGCACGCCTACCGTATACGCCGCAGGGAATGCGGCTGACGTGTTTTGTCGAAGCTCAAGGTCCCTTCTCGACATCACAAGCTACGTCCCCGACATCTCCGCCCCACCATGGACTCCCAATGCCAGCTTGCTCAACTTTCAGTGTGATGACATGGGCCTAGCAGACGGCTGCAAATACCAGCATCAGTACAATACAAAATCCCAGCCAAATTCAGACTGTCGGACATACTGATTGCCCAACCAGCTGCAGTGTGGGACAAACATATGCTCGGTCTAAAGGCAAACTTTGCACAAATCGGTACACGCAAAAAAAAGAAAAGAAAAGAAAAGAACAAAACAACACCCGAACGAAGCAGACGTGTCTCCATCCACTTCATTGGCATCGTTGTGGTTTTGACCCTTGCACAGTGGGTCTCCGCTGAACGGATGCCAAGCCAGTGATCAAAAATTTTCACTGAACGATGAGAGCCACGGACGTTTGGTATTTATTTGCCACGTGCCGAACAAGTTTGTCGATGTTTTGCTCAATTGTCTTGCGGCTCCAAACAAATCGGAATGCAGCACCCAAGCATTGGCCTTGTCTTAGAGCCTCTTGCGTGCTTTCCGCTGAGGCCCAGGCATTTCGCGCCTCCTTGCGCGGAGTCGCCCTCAGCTGAAAGACAACCGCTGCGGATCCTTCTGGCCTGAAACACGATCCTTCCTCTAGCAAACTTTTCAGGCAGCCGAAAAACGCTTTCCCAGATTAGGAAGCTTATGGTACGTTGGCGTTCCAGCATTCTAGCTTGGATAAGCTTCTGCACAAGGGATGGATGAAACATGATCACAGTCTAGAAGATCAGCTTCCTGACGAGACCCTCTGTCAGGCATGATGCTAGTGCGTTGCACTAACATAAGCTCGTTTTTCAGAATGCTTTGGCCGTTGGATGCCCAAGATGCATAAAAACAAGGTCAATGAAAGTTGGCTTCCTCCCTTCTTGAGCACCAACAAGAAAGCCCGAAACTTGACTCATTCAGTCAACTCACCTGTGTTTCTCATCTCTCTTTCGGTACAATGCTACTACACATCTCTGTGCACTTGCGATGCACATTGGATTTTAGCTTCTAGAAGTAGACCACTCGGCTGGTCAAAACTAAACCACCAGGGGACTGCAGGTTGTAGTCCTTGGTTCCATTTACTAGGGCTCCATTTTGAGTACCTATTTTTGACCCACAGCCACTCGGGAACAACACATCAGCTTATAGCCATGGCGGCCGTGTCAATGCCCCTTTGGCATCGCGGACGAACTTCGCACTGTGCCCCCAGCGCGGTGGAGGCTGTGTCGATGGAGGCGCGACCTTGGGTCATCAGTGCAGGCGATCGAGGAAACTAGACAGACCAGTTGCAAGTCCAAGATCCTCAGACGTTCCCCACAAAACCGTTGAGAAAGGCGCCAAAGCCAGCAGCAAACCAGGCTGGACAACATGCACAGCGGATTGCTTCAGATGCAGGAAGCACATGTCACGTCCAAGAATTGGCCAACAAGCAGTACAGGTGTGCCTTGCGTGCATGAAAGGAAGTGGAGTCAGCCTGCGTTCATACACAAGCTGTCGATTTTGTAGCAAGACTCTCGTTTCAATTTTGGTACTCAAGCTACCCTCCCGCGCGCTGAAACGAACCGTCACGTTCCACTTCGCGGTGAAGGTGGCATGTGGATGGGGTGCGGGTACTCTCTGCTGTATGTGTTTCCAGACGGGCGGTGAAAGCGTGACTGAGCCGGAAGAAAATGGGTGGACAGCCAAAGGCCAGTTGGGTCAAGCCGCAGATAACGCGGACTTTAAGCTCAGGGTCGCAGGGGCTGCTGATGCGCACTGACAATGGCCAAAACGAATTTATGTGTTTGAGGTTTCTGTGCAGGTAACAAACGCCTTCACACGCTATCCAGATCAAAGCTCCCGATCCTGCAGGAGCAAAAACCGCTTCTGAATTGTAACCTACATGGTCTAAGGAGATGTAGGACTCATGGCGTAGCTAACGCTCACACGTACCGATGGCAAACAAAAGGATCATGGTCTCTATGCGAGGTTCAATAGACAGAGAGGTCCGACTTGGGCGCAAATGGTGACGCTAAAGGCTTCGACTGACCAGGGAAAAAATACTGGCCAGTGCATAGGGCTGGTGTGTCTTTCTTGCGACCTTGGCCTGGAAACCGTCCGGCGCGTGACCTGTCTGCATTGGAGCTTCCGCTTCTTTTGCGTCGCTTACCTTGATCAACCCCCAAGAGTCAAGGCCGGCGCGAGTGGACGTTGTTGAGAGACCTGGCATCAAGGCCGTGCACAAAAGGGGGGGTGAAGCGTGCGGACTCCGGTGCTTGCAACACCAACTCGTGGAACTTCCGCGCGCAACTCGAGTCAGCCGTGCACAGTTGCCCGGAAGCTCGCCGGGCTTCCGGGCCTGGGTTAAATCATTCCAGACGTCAAGTCCGATGAGCGCTCTGGATACGATATGCAGCGTGGAAGGTGCCCTTGACGCACGAGAAGCTATCGCTGACACCTCCAGAGGCTGGCTGTCGTGACATCCAAGCAGCAACTGAGTCACCAGGGCATGCTGCAATTGTCAACACCCCGTCAGCATTCAGTTGAAACTCAACATTTGCGGCTCGGGGCTGTCCTGACAACGGCGGAGATCAACAAAGATCACTCTGGGCCTCTGCATTGCCTCTCTGAGGTGCCCGACTCGCAGCTGGTAAGTCATCCTTGTCGAAGGAGATCGTAGAGAGGAAGGGCAGGTCCTAAGTGATGTCGCGAGTGGGAATGTCAAAATCCAAGGAGGGAACCAAAAGAACACCCACCACTTCTATTTCTAGGTAAAATGACCCCTTAAACTGGGCCCGGGGCTCTTAAGCAAGGAAGCATCACGCATGTCCGTTCACTGTATATGTATATATATATATAAAGGTATAATCCTAGAAAAGAGGGTAAGTCATGAGGCCCTGTTTGCAGGTCTAGTTTCATTTGCAGGTCTTTTGGCGGCCCCATGTTTCAAAACAAGTCCCGTCGCTCATTCGCTTCTAGCAATTGGCCGAGCAAGCGAGCCTCCCGTTCGCTGATTCCACTCTCACGAACCAGGCTGAGGCATCCGCAGTCACACTAGTGATGGAAGGCATGTGAAACAATGCCCGCGCCTCAGCTCGAGCTTGGTCGCAGCAGAAACAACTTAGCAAGGGTCAGCATCGAAAAAGCCGCTAAAGCTGAATTAAGAATTGGATCCCCAAGTAAAGAACCTTTATCAAAGCTTTCCGAATCGGTGAGCTCGCCAAAAACAAGTTGGCAGACGATTCGGTATCACAGTGAAAAGAAAGTGAGCCATTTCGAGACGAAATGAGCTGGGAGCCCTTCCGAACACCGATTCATTGGCTCCTGAAATGGTTGGTGGAACTTTGACCCTGAAGCTAAGCTTCCTGGGAGCACAGATCCATGTTCAAAGACTGTAAAGGTGAAATCAAAGGGCAACCAAAGACCCAACATAGTACGCAGGCGGGGCATTTACCCAATCTCTTCGCTCAATTGGCAAATAAATGCTTCAAGTTGACTCAAAAGTACAGCAGGCAGCGAAACAATTTGCACAGTTGTCAAGGCAACACAGTTTCACAGCTCCATTTGAAAACCGATCTCATCCGGCATTGAACGTGAAGTCCCGTTGAAACTCAGCCTTGGCTCTTCTCTGGAACGAAACCAACCGCAAAACGCGAGGTCTAAACCGCCCGAAAGGGAACACCCAAAACGAATGGGGGCCCAAAAAGGGTAACAAGTAAAGCCACTCATATAGTAAACAGGGTAACCACCATAGGGCATCATGTAAAACCTAGCGGTAAAACTGCCAAAGCCAGTTGCAGTGGCTGGCCGCCCTCGACATATCGAGGGGCCACGGAGTTTGTCGGCCAGCAAAAAGCCCACAAGCCGGGAGCCGCGAGCCGGCGAGCGTCTTCCAAGGTAACAACAGCCCTGGAAGGCAAGCGCCTCAAGAAACAACTCACTTCCCGAAAGTAGGTTGGCCGGAAAAAGTCCAAACTTTTGGTTTACCACAAACATGGTCCAATCCCGAAAAGTGACTGAACCCCCAAACATAGTTGTTTACCTTAGACCTCGAGACGCAAGTTCTTGGCACCATTTGCACAAAAAGCGCCCCGCCTGCGGCTCGCGCCGCCGAGAAGGGCATTTTTGCTGGTTGAAATGGACAAAAATGGAACACCAAGGCAAAAAGTGCAAACGACTGCCGCCTTCGGTCTGGGAGAAGCTGGTCGGACTCCGTACCCCGTCCGTACTCTTTTCTTGGCACTTGTTCAACAAGCCCAACAAAATATCCAACGAGCAGAGTGACCAGGCCCAGTCGGATTCATCGCTTTTTCGGTAGAAGGCCTCGTGCCATTCAAAAGAGTGACGGGACATTTCTGGGGCCCTACCCTCAGTTCAGTGGCTATGGAAAAGGAAGGGATCCCTTTTTGGGGTCGACGTTTCCCGGGAAAGACATGAAATCAGGGATTTCGCGGAGGCATCACCCCTTCAGGCTCGTTTTCGGATGGCTTATGGCTCGGCTCCCCGCTGCTTGAGCTTCAGCGAGCCACTGCCTCGGAAGTGAACGGCTTCTCGCGTGGCAGATGGGTATTTTGCTTCGGCTTCCCCTTGAACATTGAGCTCCGGGTCTTTGAGAAACACCCAACTGAGTCGGGCAAAGATCTCGCTTGGCCATAGGCACAGGAGCTATGCTCAGGTAGCCACTTGGCCCCTGCGAGTTGCGAGCAAGCAATCCAAACACAAAGGGCCAAGAAAGAAACAGCCGCCAACTGAAACTGTTCAGAAAGTAGCAACCACAACGAGGATCCCATGTTGATTTCGAAGGCAAGTCAGGAGACATGTGTTCATCCACATTGCTTCTGTGATGTGTGTCAAGAGCTGGCCTTGTGGGCTAAAAGGTTGTACCTCTTCCCAGTTATCAAAAGCAAGATTTAGCATGTGGGGACTGTGCTTTTCGTTTGCTTTGGTGCCACCTTTTCGGGACGCCCATTCTGAGGAGCCTCCAATACGTCTCCCTCTGCGGTCGTAGGCTCACACCAAACATGTCGTGTGGCAATTATAGGAAACAACCTTGGTGGAATTCTGAAAACACGTTAAAGCAGGTGACATAGTCAGCAAAGCAATCTTATTTGAATATTTCAAGTGAATTGCCCACCATTCAACTTCCGATGATTCTTTTAGGACATGACTGCAAATCAACAACCTCTCCGAACAAATCAGAGGCGATTCCAGGAACAAATTTAAGAAACCTTGTCTGACGAGTCCACTCGTTCACGGCAATCTGAAGTTAAGATTCAGTGGTTGACTGCATCCCTTCTCTCAGGATTGTTTCCGTGATTTGCCCATTCGCCGTGTCTTACGTGAATGATCCTTTGACCATCGCTCCTGTGTTCCTCCATAGCGGGCACAATTTCTTCTTGTTCAACCGCAAGGATCGCATCGTTCTGAAAGGCCTTCAGGGGAGGTCAATAGGACCTATGGCGGATGCCCTAAATATCGAAAGTGGGGAACAAAGGAAACCTTTGTTTGTACACGGTTTGGAATGTAATTTAGGGCATCCACCGTAGCGACCCAGGCCTGTGTCTGTTCGCCTCACAGGGTCCAAGACCTCTTGCCGTTTTCACTGCTGAGTAGCCTCCCGACCATGCCACGTGACCAGGCTGAAGGATACAGGCACCCAAAACCCCGGCACGGGGTTCAAGAAAACCCCCAGGCCTACAGGAAAGGTTCCGCCTACGAAGCTTCTCTTAGGAAAAGTTCTGATCAAAGGGTTCCTTTGCAACTTGGCTTGCTTGACGTTCGAAGGGGAGCAAAATTCTAAATTTTAGCAGTTAAGTGGTTGGATTTCAACCACTAAACCACAACAAGCAAAAAATGCAACATGTTTTTCAACAACAACCATGTTGCGGGGTAGCTAGAGCCCGCCGAGAGGCTCAAGCATCATCTCCTGGGCAGCTGGGTCTGGGTCCACCTCCACCAACACCTGGGAAGAGACTCATTCAGCCCCTGGTTTCACCCGAAACAACTGCCTTGTGGCCTCTATGCTCAAGGGCCATAAGTTGTTGTGCCTGTAATTGCAGCTGCGTGACTGCATTCGATGTACCTTGACAGATCAACGCAACGTGAGGGAACCTCTTGCTGGCCTCCAATTTCAACGAGGAACAGGCGGCCTTCTGTTGAAACACAATGTGCAAAACCCTGATAATTCTTGCGATGGATGGGAGGAAGGAGGGGAGGGCAAGGCCCACCCACAGTTCTGTTTCACAAACCTCGCTGTGTGGCTTGTGGCCACTTTTAAGCATGCGGCAACTATGCTCTTCTCTTCCTGTGGTTTTGACGAAATGCTGCACCAGTTGACGGCTTCAAACTCAAGCAAATTGCGCCAATTGTGAGATGTGACTTAGATGCGCCAGAAGCGCTCAGCATGGCTGTTTCTGCTCGAGCTACACTTGCGAACCCGCGATACAGATCAGCAACCCCCGCAAATATCGCTCAATGTCTAGAATCCGGGGTCTTCGCAAGTCTGGACATATCGATTCAATGCAGCACACAGCCTTAAGGAACAGCTTTTGTAAAGGGTAACAAAGATATCTGAGGCCTCTCATACTGAAGCCACAAGGAGCAAGTCTGGATAAGTTGTACTGCGTTCAGAACAAGAACAAACAAAAACCGAGCTGCGAGCTGCGGCCCATTTGCCTCTTTCCCACCTCCCTGCCGCGCCTGACTCATGTAAGCTTTGAAGATACTGAATGGCACGGCATCGCCCTGCGCATTCAGCTTCCGCCGGAAAAGGTCCTCCGAATCGGATCGGAGCACGTCCCCGTCCGCCTCAAGAGGGCGATTTGAGAAGCCGACCTCATACCGACTTGGAGCCAAGGCTATTGGGACAAATAAAGCCTGTCTGTTTTCTGGAGCCAAGAACAAAGCAAAAGCTTTTGGACCTGACAAAGCTCATCTTTCAGATTTGAAGCTATGGTCTTTGTGGGCCTATTCTAAACATTACCCTGCTAATCCAGTGGCATGCCCTGCTAGCAGGCAAGCATGGATATGGAGCCAACCGCTCGATATGCTACGATATTTTGCTGCAAAAGAGTCAGCGGGTGGACCTTTGACAACTCGACAACTTGCCAACGTCCAGCTAAACCAGCCTGTTTCCTATCGATCCTGCTCCACTGCGGAATAGAAGTTCCCAAATCTTCCACAAGATGCATGCTGTCTTATTCTAGTTGTCGGGTATACTTAAACAAGTCTGTGTTTGATTTTGTTCCATATTCAGTGAACCTTCAAATACGAGCCCGTCGTTTCCTTTCAACTACCATCCGAAGGGTCCACCATTCCAAGAAATCCCATGTGAGTCTGTCTTGTTTTGAGGGTACCCCCCACCCCCTATTTGTGTGGTTTTCAAGGGACAAAAACGGCGAACCACTGATATAAGCAAACTTCTGAGATCCAAACAAGTTCCCAGTGCGGTCCTGGTACTTAGCCTTGACCGCCTCCATGTCAGCATTGCGCCCATGATGCAACCTTGGGCATTGCGCCCACATCCCGGGGGGGAAAGGTCTGTCTTAAACCGTCTTTTGGATGGCTTTGTTTTCAAGGGACACCACTATGACACCAACCACCTGGCGGGGTCCTAATGGCGAAGCTCCCGTTTCCCACAAGGACAGGGTCTAAAAGCTCGCCGCAGGACGTGACAGTTTCATACCACATAATTGATCTGGTCGACTCGAAAGTAGCCCGGGCTAGAAACGACAAGGCCCACGCAGCACAATCTTCTTGTTGAGCTGAATCAGCTCCAATTCCTGACCAGTCCCCGCGCAAGGAGTTAGCGCCATGGCATGCCGCGTCTGGCGGACTAAAACCCTGGCGTGGCTGAAATCTATGTAAGAGGCTTGTGGTTGGCGTAATTGCCTGTTCATACTAGGGCTTGTCTGAAAACAAACTCGGGATCACCCGCCCAGTGGTCTGCCGTTCTAAGGTTTCCATGCGCGACTCAAGAGCGAGTAACCCGCCTCCAGCAAGCCGTTCTTGTTGAGGTCGTGGGCAGCAAAAAGCTCCTCGTGGGAGCTGGACAAAAAACGGGCTCCCCAGAAAAATATGTATATATACATATATATATATATATATACAACACATACCGATCACTTTGCGGCTCCTGCCCGGCAACCTCTGCCCCCCCCACCCCCGCAAATGATCACAAACAAATTCGAGGTAAACAGTATCAGAAGCTTCTGCCAGTGGCAAGCTTCGCATGGACGTGTCTTGGTTTGCATACTTTCCAGCGAAGGTTGAAACACCACTCTTGCATTACAAAAGCGCTGTTTCGACTACCGGCAAACACAAATGCACCCCTGGAAGATTCGGGAATGACTCACCGACCTATCAAAATCAGGAACTCCTTCTATTACCAGTTGCCATGTAGTGGCTCAATCAGGGATCCCCAACAAGTGCAACGAGCTTTTTTTGCGGATGATCGGCCACTTTCCCTACATTTCCCCTGGCGACTCAAGAATCAACTCTAAGCATGGACATTGGCCCCCGGCCAACAAAAGAAAAAACTAGTCTAAAGGGTTGACTCCGGGTTCACCCACCGTTCTCTTTAGAAACCGCCCAACTCCCGCTTTGGATCCCTGAGGAGGGAAGGTACGGCCGGAGCTAGGGGACATCTGGTACCAAATGGGCTTGCATCAGATGGGCACCCACAGGGATAATTTCCCTTTGGTATCCCTTCAAGCAATCCCAAGACATCACCTTCAAAAAAAGGCATACCTCAATCCCGGTTGTCTGGAAAACCGAAACACATGAATCCCTTTACTTCCATTTGCTTTTGTGCCATGGAATAAAATAAACAAGTTCCACTCATAGATTCCAAACACCAAGGGAACGTTTTCGGCTTGAACTTTTGGAGTGCCCAAACAACGGCTTGCCACTGAACTGGCAAACGCCGGCGTTTTTTTTGGCTAAAAGGCCGCTTGCCTCCAGAAGGCCCAGCAGGCGAGAGGAGAGGATACTGCGGTTCCTGGAGATCGACTTCGGGCCTTTTGACCTTATTGTTGGTTCCTTTTTTGACAACAAGAAACAAAACAACAACAGTCTGAAAGAGAAAGAAACACAAAAAGAGGGGCCGACGTTGCACATAATACCCTGTTTTTGAAGCAGCAGGCAGCAGAGCAGTTTCGCCGCTTCCGTCCTTGCCAGTACTTGAATCATCTTCAATCTGAGACCCTTCCTCCCACTAATGTAACACCTGTGGGAAGGTACCTGGAAGATCAATTTCCTCTTGAAGAGCCCCCCTGTCAGGTGCCGAGTTAGTGAGAGGGTAGCACAACCAACCAGGTGCAACAGGGCTACAAAGGAAGGATGGAAAGTGGTCCCTGACCAAAGGAAATCACAGGACACTCTGGGAATGTGAAGAAAGACCTGGCCCCAGGCTTAACGCAACTTCTGCGCAATCTCCTGCTTGTTTTTGTTTTTTTTCTTTATGCCTCGCTTCGATCAGACAACCTGCCTCCGACAACTCATCTTGTAATGTAGACAGTCAGTCATGATTGCCACCGGGGGAGCAACTGAACCAGCGCGAAAGACCTGGTGGTTTGGAGTTGCCAGGGGCGGTCTTGATTATCGAGTATTAGCGGTTTTGGCTCGTCTTTGTTTTGCGATTTGGTGTGTCTGGTTGAGGTCTATCCTTGTAGGGGGCGTTTGACTCCGCTCCGCAGGGGGATAAACTGTTTCGACATAATTTTAAAACTACCCCCTCGTAGCTGTTGCCAGCAGCTGGCAGGGTGGTGCTTGCCCCTTAGCTTTCCGACGTTCCAGCTGTTTGCAATGCGCAGCATGGGAACCTCAATGTAAAAACCTCATGCTTCATACAGATGCAAAAGGGTTGATTCTGTTGGCAAGCACGCGTTTAGGTTTTGAGGTCAGCGCCTTTTGCTTTCATTGTGGTGTGGCCGGCAATCTCCTGTGTACTTCTCTTTTTCTCTTTTTAATGATGGCAAATACATTGGGGTCGGTCGAACACACATGCCGGCGGCAAAAACACGCATTGGCAACGTGCGTTGGCAGCTGAGCTCTGCTGAGCATAGTCAACTTAGTCATCCCCAAGAGTCGGCTCAACAGAAGCCGGGAGCATCATACATTGCGCACCCCTTTTGGACAGATTTTGCAACCAAACGGGCACCATGGAGTAACCCATAGGACATGGAGACATGGCGGTTGCACGCCATGGGCCCTTTGCACCCCCGCCTTTCGCCCTCGCAATTCTTGTAAAGACCGCCTGGGCCACGTGTCTTGGAGTGGCATGAATGCGACAAACCATCTGACGTAGGTCCTCCCAGTCGCCAGCAATGTTTGATCCATTAGCATCTACATACCAAAACAGGAAGAACTTGGGGAAATTACGGTTAGGGCCCGAGGATCCTGGATTGCGCCTCCCCAAGAAGACGTCTTGTTCTCCAGAAGAGTGCGACCAACCCCTTGGGCAAATAGCTCCAGCGGTCCAACGCTTGAAGGGCCAAGAGAGGGCTGTTCTCAATCATTGTGGCGGTGATGGGGCCAAGCTTTGTAGGTCTCCCGCCTGCCCCTGCGCAAGGAAGGCCAGCGCACTAAACCACATGACATGTTTGAAGCCGCGCCCGGGTCCTAAAGCTCCCACAAACGCAATCCGACGGCCGCTGGAACAGGACACAAAGTACAATCGTTCTACTTCGGACACCGCACGCCTACGAACTTTACTTGGCTAAGCTAGACTGCGACCACACAGGCACCACAAGGTCAATCCGACTGTGCGAGGGGCCTCAAGCATGCTGCTGGCTGATGCGATGGCAAATAAGCTCAGTCGAACCAAAACGGAAGCAAGGCTGCGTTGGTCGGTCCCTGCTCAAAAGCAGTTGTAGCTATTGCTTTAATAACGCTTCCTGGTGGAGATTCCCTTCATCCAGGGCACTCCAGCCAGGCTCTTGTCAAGATGCATCATCTGCAGCCCCAAGATCCAACTAAATGTGCCGATAGCATCTGAAAATCAGCTGAAGTGCCGCCGCTTGCCCGGCAAAGCTTGCCACATCCAACAGAACAGGCCCAAGCATTCAATCAAAAAAGGGAGTCATCTTGGATTCCATAACTTCATGCCATCGACCTGGCGAACTAACACGGTGCAACTCCCCAAAATGTGGGATCCGGAGCTTCGATGTGGGTCAAAACAGAAGCTGGGCAAGTTTTGCCTAAGACCTGTTGAGAGAGCCGTTCAAAAGCGAGCGCTATCTCTCGATGTTGAAACTAGTGTCTCGGTGCAACAAGGATGTGCGAGGGCGGGGGGCAAGCAGGGCAAGCCATGTTAAACATCTGCACAAGTTCCTAAGTTCCCAAACTGGAAATCGCGAGGACCTTTTATCAAGGGTGAGCTCGAGCGGACGAAGCCGGCGTCGTCACCATCACTCAGCCCCGAACAGCTATCCGTGTCGAATAGGCGATCCAACAAACCTGCCAGCGGTGTGTGTGTGTGTGTGTGTGCGTGTGGGATGGGGCCCTGGATGTGGTCGGCTTGCCTGACAAACATAATATGGATGCTGCTTCTTGCCGCAACAAGCCATTTCAACTTAGGTTTTGCACACGTGTCATGAAGCCCTCCAACGCGAGAACACCACATGCATAATTCGCATCTTGGCAGCATCTTTGAGCCACTTGTCAGTAAATCATGGCACCCGGAGAGAACTCGCATTTGCCCCATGCACAGCCTCGAATTTGTGTCCCCTTGTGCCCTTAGGTGAGAAGCTTGCGTTTTGCGATCACAGCGCCTGGGACAGGCCACGTACAGACGCCTCTGGACGTGCGCCAAGATTCAGATTGTTTCTCATGGCATGCTAAAAATGAGCAAGCTGCCGGCCCCTCAAACACATCCTTTACGTGAAGTATGTACCGGTGGCCCTAAACTGGTGGCCCTAAACGGGCGATGGTAGCTATCGGCAAGAATTGGACGCATCACTTGCATGAGTTTGTTGATTTCCACCTGACAGACAGCAACCTGGTGAAGTGGCATGCCTTGTTATCACATAACAGCGCCAAACAGCTTGCAAGGACTCCTGCCAAATGCGCTGACCAACGGTATAATAAGTATCTTAGCGCCCTTTTCGTATAGGACCCAAAGGAGCTGTGTTTCCACAATGGCCATGACCAAGGAGCGGTTCAATGTCTGGCGTGAATTGCCATGATATAACCAGCAAACAGTCACAACGTTGCAAAACCAACACTGGTACCTGGTACCCAACACCAGACAAAATACAAGGGCGACCACCCCATTTGTGGTCGGGAATGTCGGTCTGCCAACTTCCATTAGCGCAGAAATTGAATTTGGTGGCACGAGCCAATAGAAGCAAAATTGAAATCCGACTCTCACGTTCAGGTCCCGAACGGCCAATAAGCCAAGAAACCAGCTCAAAGCCTGGTGGCGAGGTTTAGGACCGGAGCCCCTTCCCAAATTTCACAAGCCACGTATCGAAGTCCAAAAGGAGTCCACTGGAAGCTGCTTTGTAGCGAGCGGCTTCAGCTCCCGCCTCCTTGCTGCAGATGCTTGTTGTTGAGCTTGCGCGCCTGGCTGGCAAGAAGCTCGCCGCAATAACTCCTTTTTGGCAAATGGAGATGTGAGGTTCGGTAGAAATCAGTGGTCTGTTCTCTCCCAACGTCGAGGGCACCGCCAAACAGGCGGCAAGCGCTCTTTTTGACCCTTGCTTGCCAGATGGGCAAGGGTTTCCTTGTAAACAACGAAAAACACCGGGTACCCAACGCTCCGGCTTTCCTTCCAGAAAACCACCTTGCGGCATCCGCATCCCGCTGTTTTCAAGTGCCTTTCCTCTGGAGACCCAGGTTGAACATGGGAGCCACGCGATCGATCTAAGGCACCGCGGTTTAAGTCAGGGGGAATAAGGTAGCATATTTGCCATCCATGAACATACAGAAAGGGAGTTGTTTGCAGCTTCACCCTCTCCTGAGGGTTGCTTTTTGACTTTTGTCTCCCCCTCACTCTGACTCGCCACCCATCCTTCGCACTCGTCTGCGGTTTGGCTGCGAAGTTCTCAAACATATGCCCCCCCCTACCGCCACAAAACATCAAACACCTATTGTTTTTCACAGCGGATACCAGAAGGGATCCCAAATTTTGAGAAGCCTGACAAATACCCCAACCAACCAGCCAACGCACCAACATACCAACATAGCAACGAACCAAGAAACCAACGCACCAACATAGCAGCAAACCAAGCAAGCAGCATACCAACAAACCAAGGAACCAACAAACCAAGGAAGCAACATACCAACAAACAACCGACCAAGGAACCAGGAAGCAACGTACTAACGAACAACCAACCAAGAAACCAAGAAACCAAGGAGGAACCAATGAACCAAGGAACCAAGGAACTAAGGAACCAACAAACAAAGGAAGCAACATACCAACGAACAACAGATCAAGAAGCCAAGAAGCCAAGGACCAAAGAACCAAGAAACCAAGGAGCTCGAACCGAAGAAGCAACATACCAACGAGCAACCGACCAAGGAACCAAGGAACCAACAAACCAAGGAATCAAGGAATCAACCGACCACAACAAACACCAACCAAATTGGCAAGGCTCGCTCCACTTCCCTCAGTCCCTTGCCGCCTTCGGCTCACCGTCACCTCCGTGCGCGCAAAAGCGCGGAATCGGCGTCGATTTACATGAGTTTGTCCAATAAAATATAAACCCCAATGGCTGCCCTCACATCCCCCGCTAAAAGTGACTAACTGTTAGTGGGTTAAATGACCAAGCAAAGAGATGGTGTCCTTTTGGTTTCCCTCTCAACCAACCCGGTACCCTCAAAAAGATCCGCCCACATGTGTGTCTGTGTGTGTGCGTCTGCAGGGGAAATGCGGAACATTCGGCAGAGGCGAACACGAGGCAAGCCCGAATACAAAAGTGGAGGAATAAATCGCACCTGAGTTGGTCAATGAGGTGCTACATGAGGTACGTCAGTTGTTTGCTTCGTCTGTTCCTTCTCGTTCTCCATCCCGGCACCCGCTTGGACTCTGGACCTCGTTCTCCAACGCTGTGTTTGTACTCACAACCACCTATATGTCGTGATCCTACCTCGTTTTGGGGGTGGTACGACCTTTTGCACCGAATTTAGTATGTTAAGAGAAACATGCTTCCAACCCGGCTGCACTGTCTTCTGCGAAGGGCAGTCGCCACGGAATTCTATTTTCCCTCGTTCAAGGGAGTACGGTTTGGGGAAATCAGTTTCGGTGGCAGTGGAACATCCTTGGGGCAAACCAACACATCATCCAGCGTACGTGAACCTCTGGCTCGCGCGCCTCTTCACCATCAAATGATAAGGTAACACCATGAGCAACCCTGATTGCTTGGAGTTTTTTCCCAACACCAGTCTGGCCATACCTTAAAGAGCCTCTGAGTTGAAAAACACATGCCAGCAACTTTTTGAGCTGAAACTGGCTAGTCAAGTACAGGGCTACGGCAAAAGAAGCAGTGGCAGGCTTCTCAACACCAGCCTCTCCTATTCAAGCTTCGTGATTGAGTCGGCCAAGTGCTACAGCTCAACCCTTGCATGTGGCTCATGTGAAGCCACATCACCTGTATTTTTTGAAAGCCCCCACCAAGTTCCTCGTAAACCACGCAGAAGCATGGACCACTGCATCAGGTGCTCAGATATGCTGGCAGTTCAACTTCGTCAGAAAACAACAAATAAGACCTCAATCTAGCAAGAGAATCGGTCCGTCATTCCCTGCCGTCTTGAAGCGAACGGCGCGAGGGGCGCAAAGGGCTGGCTGAAGGATGGGCCAAGCAGCGTCTTAAGCCCCTGGTCTTGCGTTAGAGTCCCAACTAGGCCACCGTATGGAAGGCACTCGTCCAGCTCTGACGCTGGACCTCGCTTGGAGCGTGAAATGATTGCAACAAGGAACCACCGCTTGGGCCTCCAACCACTGCCCGGAACAAGTAGCAACTATTTTCAGTAGCGATCGATTTCCTGCAAAAAAAACAATCAGGGGAAAACGGCTGTGGGTCAAAATTACAGAGCTAGGGCAAACCGCAGGTCTTAGTCTTTGGTTCCATTTACCAAGGTGCCATTTTGATACATGTTTTTTTGAGCCACAGCCAAATAACAAACATATAAAATAACAACTATTTCCACTAGTGATAGATTCCCTGCAAAAACCAGGAGAGAAAATAACAAACACTGATTCAATGACTGAGGGCCCCTCTTTTCTAGGTCCTTCAGTAGAGAGGTTAGAATAAGGGTACCAACAGTTTTGTTTCTTCTTCTTTTTTTCTCTTTGTGTCTAGTTTAGTAGGGAACCCTCCCCAAAAACAAGATGATAAAATGGCACCTAGCTGGGGGACCTTGTTTGCGCTTCGGCAACGCGATCGCTACTTTGCTGTCCCAATTTCTCGATGGACATCTCAGGCAGCGGCCAACACAATCGGTGACCGAGGCGATCGCTCCCATGGTCCTTGGAGAGTCGCAGCTTGGGAGGGCTCCCAAAATAATATGTCTATATGTTATATCTATACCTATATCTATCTCTCTCTCTCTCTATATATATATATATATCTATATGTGTATACAAATAAATGTTCCAGTCCCCCAGCCGCCTCCCCCCCCCCAAGGGACATATTAGTGTGTATATATATATATATATATTTGTATGTATGGTGCCCCCCCCCCCCAAATGTCGACCTTTTTGTCTGTCTTCATATGTGATGCCCACTACATCTGACTCTGCAAAAGGTCGACATTGGCCGGGGGGGTTGCATATATATATATATATATATTTATTTATTTATACATTTTCTTTCTATCTATATGTATTACGTCACACGAGGAGGAAACTCTCCAGAAGTGGCCAATATCGGTGATGTAACGGGGTGACTGGGGTACCGATTTGAGAGTAAATCGCCTGCAGAGTCAGGGACAAAAAATGGAACAGAAACATTGCCTCCGACATGAATTCCTGTAGCCACGGCAGCCCCAATGCCCAAAAAGCGGTCAGCGGGAGAATTGAGAGGCAATCCAACCCTCGGTTGCATAAATCAAGTCCAATCCTTGCCTTGAGACCCTGTGACTCAAGTGTACCCGGTGATTGCCGATTCAATCCCCTGAAAAGCTATGTAAGATGGTTTGCGCCCCCCCAAAGGGCAATCAGGGTGCATACCCAATAGTGTTTATACAGTGGTTGTGCAAAGGTCATCTTTTTGACTGTGTCTGGGGGTTGTCAAAGTCAGAAAATGGGGGTTTCCCTTCAACCCGCCACTTAAGGGTGACTTTGATTGTACAATGAGGCCAGTTGTATACCCCATGTCTCCAACCTGGGGACTTGGAGATAATAAACACCATCTGAAGCTCCAGGCGCGAGGGCGACGGCGTGAAATCCCAAACCGTGACTGTTGCTCAATGCTGCTGGGCTATACTGCGTGCTCCATGTGAATGCTGTGCGATTCAACTTGAGATGAAAGGCGGACCTGCGGCCAGCAGCTGACGTTGAAAACATATAACATAAACGATGGTTCACAGCTCTGGTACACCAAGAAACTTGGAATTGCCAGTGTTGCCCTTGTGCTGACTGCGTCATGCCGCAAAGCCCAGCCAACCACGCGCTTGCTATTTCACATGCTAGCATGTCAGCCTGTCTGCCTGCTTGGTTGCTGCCCAGTCTGGACCCCCTCTCACCCGCGGAGCCACGCATTTCTATACCGGCAACGCAACTGTACCACCGTGCTTTGAAATCGCACGTCGAGGCTATCATGGCAAAATAATCGGCCGCCACATTCGCTGCAGCCAATCCTTTTTGCAGGATTGATTCTTGAGGAACGAGCCGCGTGTCGTAGCCACTATCTTGAACATTCTTTTGAATCACATTAACAAAGGCCACATCAAGGCTTCATTGGGAAACTTTCATAATAGCGGTGCATGACCATAACATGTGAGCCAGGGTCAAACTTGCAGGTGCCCGAAATGGACTAGGAACAATGCACGAGTGACCCAATCCACCATGGACTGCGCACGTCATGGCAGCTGCTCAATCCCGTGACACCACATCGAAGTCCTCCTTCTGCCTCAGCATTTCATGCGCATTTGCCGGGAGCATGCTATGCATGTCCGACATGAACTCAGAAGAAGCGTGTGTGTGTGTGTGTGTGTGTGTGTGTGAGCGTGCGCGTGTGCGTGTGTGTGTGTGTGTGTGTGCCTGGGTGCGTGTGTGCGTGTGCTTGTGCATGTAGGTGTGTGTGACCTGTGTGTGTGTGTGTGTTTCTGTTGTGGTGTGTTTTCTGTTTGCTTGTGCTTGTGTGTTGTGTGTTGTGTGTTGTGGGTTGTGGGTTGTGGGTTGTGTGATGTGTGATGTGTGTTGATGGGTTTGTTTGATTGTTTGTTCGTTTGTTTGTCTGTTTGATTGTTTGTTTGTTTGTTTGTTGTTGCGGTTGCGGTTGCGGTTGCGGTTGCGGTTGCGGTTGGGGTTGTGGTTGTGGTTGTGGTTGTGTTGTTGTTGTTGTTGTTGTTGTTGTTGTTGTTGTTGTTGTTGTTGTTGTTGTTGTTGTTGTTGTTGTTGTTGTTGTTGTTGTTGTTGTTGTTGTTGTTGTTGTTGTTGTTGTTGTTGTTGTTGTTGTTGTTGTTGTTGTTGTTGTTGTTTGTTGTGGTTGTTGTTGTTGTTGTTGTTGTTGTTGTTGTTGTTGTTGTTGTTGTTGCTGTTGCTGTTGCTGTTGCTGTTGCTGTTGCTGTGCTGCTGTGCTGCTGCTGTGCTGTTGCTGTTGCTGTTGCTGTTGCTGTTGCTGTTGCTGTTGCTGTTGCTGTTGTTGCTGTTGCTGTTGCTGTTGCTGTTGCTGTTGTTGTTGTTGTTGTTGTTGTTGTTGTTGTTGTTGTTGTTGTTGTTGTTGTTGTTGCTGTTGCTGTTTCTTTTTTTTTGTTGTTGTTGTTTTTGGTTGCTTTTTTTTGGGTTGTTGTTGTTGTTGTGGTGGTGGTGGTGGTGGTGGTTGCTGCTGCTGCTGCTGCTGCTGTTGCTGTTGCTGCGTCTGCTGCTGCTGCTGCTGCTGTTGCTGCGTGTTAGTTGGTGCTGTTGTACGTGTTGTCTTTTTGTCTTTGAACATGTGTGTTGATTGCTTTTGCCTTGCTTGTTTGCCAGGTGTGATTGTTTTATTGTTTGCTTGTTGCGTACTTGTGGCTGTGTGTGTCTGTATGTCTGTCTGTCTGTCTGTCTGTCTGTCCGTTTGCTTGCTTGCTTGCTTGCTTGCTTGTCTGTGCTTGTGTGTGTGTGTGCGTGTGTGCTGTGCATATACGTGTATATATATATATAGTGCTTTTGTATATGAGAGGGTTGTCTGCGTCTGTGTGGTGTGTGTGTGTGAGCGCGTGTTTTGTGTTCCTTGCGTGTCTATGATGTTTGGGTCTCTTTGCGTTTCCTTGTCATTTTTTAGTTTGTGCAAGATCAAGCAGGGCAGCGTTGTGTTTTTAAAAGGCGACTGTCGGTTGCCAGCACAACTAGGCGACTTGTTTGCCGTACCTGGCAAATCCACCCCGCCCCTGAATCCTCAGAACCCGCATGCCACAGCGACTACATGCCACAGCGACTATATACAAACCAAAGCCTACTACATCATACGCAAGGTTCAGGCATGGAAAAACAGCAGCGAATATTGCGCCTCGTTCATCTCAATATTTGCTATGCAAAAGTACTTGAACCAAAATCGTCCTCCTCCTCATCCTCCTCATTATCATCATTCTCACCACTACTATCATCAACATGCTCAATGCTTTCAACTTTTTGGGTGTTGCATTTGTAAGGTGCCCTTGTTTGGCCTATTTTCACAGGGCAACTGGAAACCACGCTGAGACAAAGAGAGCTTAGCTCTCGGAAGGCGCGGAGAATTCTTGGTCCAGGGTCCAGTCCGAAGGACACCACAAGAACGCCGAAGTTCCCGGCTTTTGGGTCGCCCTAACTAGGTCCTCCAGCAGAGAGGCTAGAATAGGTTGGTACTTCTTTCTCTTTCTGTCGTCTATTTTAGTAGGGGAACCCTTTCCCCAAAAAAGGGGTGAGCAAGGGCACTGCTGGGGGACCTACCCAAAAATGGAGCAAAGCATCTCGAATCCAGGGTCCAGGGCTGCAATGAGGTGAAGCGCTTCAGGCTCTCAGTGAGGTCACTGGTGAGGCCCAAGGAGGACCACGGGGCCTAGGAGCTTCCCGTTGCGTAGCTTGCGGACATGGATACTGATTCCTTGTGGATCTTCCCCATGTTCTTGCAGAACCTAGGTCCTCCAGTAAAGGTTAGAATAAGGGTTCTTCTTTTTTCTTCTTTTTCTTTAGAGGAACCCTCCCCCAAAAAAGGGGCAAAAGGGCACTACTAGGGGGGGACCTGGAAAACTCTGATCGGTAGCTCCAAAAAAAGAAGAAGAGAAAACAGAAAAAGGAAACCCACCCCCCTCTTTGAAAGCAAATTTGGATGCCTGCGGCTCCCTGACGGATCCCTTCCACCCACCAGCTAGCCAGCTATTTTGATTGTGAAGAGGGTAGGATGCAAACCAACGAAAAAATGTGGCCGGTGCGCAGGAACGGAATTGCGAGCGCCGAATCTTCAGTTCGAGATTTGTCTGCCTTGTGCAAGTTAAGGCCTTGCCATGCTGAAAGTCCTGCATGCCACCAAGTACCAAAGCAGTTGCAATCGGGTCAGAACCCCGGATTATGCTCTGGAGAAAATCGCCAACTTTGACGGTCCAAATCCCATTTCAATCAAACCCAAAACGTGAGCAGGACACCTGAGCATCCATTTTACGCCGGCCTGCAGCTGTTCAGGTCATGCCCATGGACCGCTTAGAGCGCGTGTCCGCAACTTTGCAGGGTCGGCATGCTCTCTAAGTCCAAGCGGGTCTGTGTCAAATCCAGGCAACTTTCTTAATCCATGTCCGAAACACAAAATCAACCTGGCATAACCTTCGCTGAACTCAGATCCCCCGCTAAGGGGATGGCTGGGAGCAACCCAAGTAACATGAAATCACACGCTTGCATGGCGAACTCTGTTGACCTTTGACACATTCCCAAGTCCACCCTGCTAACCAACGGCATCAGCCTGGTCGTCCAGGACGCAATGAAAGCGAACCATGATAAAGACCAATTGCTCCCCCGCAGATTCACATTGGAACCCACAAACACTTTGACTTTTGGAGGACGATTCCGTTTGGTGTACCTTCCTTTTGGGTTCCATGTTAATTCGCGGAGTAAAAGGCGCGCAAAAGCTTCGAGGCAAATGCTTAAATTGGGCCACTGCATGCCTCGATCTGAGAAAACCAGCACCTACTGAGCTACTGACGAGTTGTCAGGTGCCGGCCGCGCGTCAAAATCTTGGAGCTGCAACGAGACTTAGCTCGCAATCTCCCAAGAACCTGCAGCAAATGGCTCACTGCCAGCCGGCAACCTGTGACGGAAAAGAGGTCCAGGGTGTGCACGCACTTTACAGCCCTGGCGATTTTGCGGGGGGCCGTGGTGCCCGCTTTGCATTCAGGCCATTTCTTCCAGCGCAACAAGTAACCTGTCAATGTCACAGCAACAGCCTGGCAAGCTTTGCCCAGGCTCTGTACAATCGCACCGCCCAGTCGCACAGTCAAGCGGAAACTGGCAATCCCTAGAAGGGGACGTACTCTGCCCCTTCAAGACTCGGAGTTCGTCGGCTACCGGGCGACGCCGCCCCAGTGAACCGAATCGGCGCAAATCCCGGCGTCTCCGCCCAAAAGTTTGCTCAAACCTCCGCCTCCGCCAGGTGAGCCTTGCGAAGCTCGCGCTCTTCCTGGCTAACCACCTGAGAGCGGCGCAAAAACTGGAACCTGCCTTCGGGAACTTTCATCAACCCTCGGGGGAAGTCAAGCAACATGGACTTGCAACACAGAAATGGAAGTCCCAGCGTGGTATTAACCGACTTACCTGACATGGGTACATCCAATTGGGACTTGACAAACGGGACAGCCAGTATCTGTGCGCCCCTCTTCAGTTGGTAACCAAAAGGAACACCGAATTAAGACAACTCCACGTTTCATTGGCATAGCCTGTCTCACCTGGAAACCGTGCCTAAACCAAAGACACCAGGAAGCGCAAGGGATCGAATTCACGATCACTTTGTCTCCCCGTGCCTTGTAGCAGCCGATGCGGTTCCACCAGACCACCAGCGCGGCCAGAGCGAGCAGCGTGCAAATCAGCACGGCAGTGCCCAAGACCACAGAGACTTCGAAGAGTAAAGAGATTCCCAGCACCACGCCTTTCGATCAAATCCAACCTAGTCTTCTTTGATCCAAAAAAAGAGCTCGATTTGGGTGGAGTCTCTTTGCTATTCTTGGGTTGCCTGTACGGGAAACAACTTGGACCCGTTGATGGCCACACGTGGGTTCCTGCAAAGCGATCGGAATAGAATACGTCAGTCCCCGAGTCGATTCTGGCCGGGAGGGAAGGACCCGATTTGGATGAAGTCTCTTGGGGGAGGCTTTTGAGGTATTTGGCCACATGATCTTCGTTTGGCTGGCTGGTTGGCTGGCACATGCGTGGATTGCCGGTGGAACACCTAGCCCATGCAGCAAGTGCTGGAGCGCCTGCCAAGCCGGAGCAAAGGTTTGTGATGCAACCAAACCTTGTTGTTGACTAGTGATTTCACTCTTGCAAGCTGCTCACATGATAAGTCTAACTGCTCTAGTGCCGCGATATGCCGCGCGATCACTGCCACTGCGCGAAGCATGATGTGCACTCATTGTGAGATATCGAATCATCCAAATCACACATCAGCAGTGACGGGTGCTTGTGAACCGGCTGCTTTCTTTCGGTTGCCCTTGCTCTTTGTTTCTCAAACTTGCGTCAGAAGGGTTCGCCTTGCAGTCAGCGTTTGGCAGCTTGGATTTCGGACATCCTCGCTTTTTGTGGCGGAATCACATATGTCCGACTCAACTCCCCTCATTCCCTGGCTTGCCATCTAGGTCAACCAATCGCCTCGCGACTCTAAGGCTTGGGTTTTCCACGCAAAAGCCGGACTGTTGACATCGAGGAGACCGGCCGCTCGCCTGGCAGTGCCAAAAACATGACCAAGATGTAGATCAGCGGCACGAGGCGCCAGTAAGAGGCATAGAACCCCAGGGTGCAGGCGGCGGTGATGACGACTCGCCGCATCGGAGGGGCAGGAAACCAAATGAGGATGCCCAAGATGTTGAAGAAAAGATGGCCTCGGGCGCGCTCGTTTGAGCCGGATTCGACCAAACCTGGCATCCCCAGTTGTTCAGTGACTACAGTAAAAACCCGGAGCCCTGGTTGGGGTCGGTCGAGTCCTGAACCCAACCAAAAAGGCAAAGAAAGAACAAGTAGCGCCACTGACCAAGGCACAGAATGCGATCTGAATGCTGGCCGCAGTCATGACCGACAGCGCAGCGAGCATGGACGTGAAGGTTGTGCCGATGTTTGAGCCCAAGGTCATGGGCAGCATCTTTGCCACGGGTAGCACACCGATGCCGACTAAAGGGGTCAGGGCGGAGGTTACTACGGAGCTGGATTGCACAATGAAGGTCAAAGCCAGGCCCAGCAGCATCGCCAAGTAGTCGTTCAGCTGAGTGCCTTTCCTAAGTGGCAAGCAACAAACAAACATGCTGTTTTTGTTTTTCTCCTCTCTCCGCTAGCCTAAGAAAAGAAGAAGAGAGGCAGGACACTCAAAACACACAGACATCACAGTCAAACTCGCTCATCTGAGCTTCATGAGGATCTCCCTGGCATGACCCATAACAAGACTGTGCAGTAGCTTCACCATGAAGAACAGCGCGCCACACATCACCAACAGCGAAATCATCAGCCCCAAAATGCCGCCAGCCACATCGCCGGCCCCTCGAAAATTGACAAGGAAAAATCAATCCAATTGGTGTTCTGCATTACTGCTTTCTGGCTGGGTGGTTGTTTCTTGGGATGCGCCCAACGTCTTTTGACATCGTTTCTGCTTACATGGATGTGACCCACCAAGACACCAAGTAGTGCACCCACGTAACATGGCCAACAGTAGGGTCTGTTGGACGCCGTTCCCTTGGTATCACAAAAAACATCCACCCAGGTTCCCATGTTTTTTCTGCGCCCCTGCCTCGCAAGAAGCCTTTGCCGATGATGGCTGCGCCCTCGATCTCCGACTTGTAAAAGTCCCCCGCGTCGCGCGAGCAGAAGCTGTCGGATCGGCACTCGGAGATGAAGCTGCAGGCGGGCAATGTGTTGTAGCCGTCCTCCGCTACCTTCCGCCATGCCTCAACAAGGTTGATCCCTTCAACTCACTGAGTGGAGGGGCCAAAACAAGTCCGAACTTCTTTTTTTGTCAAAATTTGCCCCAACACAAACAGCATAAATCCCAGGAACTCGGGAAGTGAGTCAAAGTCGAACTTTGGGGCTAGAAATCCCAGAGCCAAGTCGAAGGGACTGTGGTTTCAAAGCCACCCAGCCTCGCTCATGGCCCCAGACACGCAGAAGTACGTGCAGTGCCCGGAACAGTTGGCTTCCCTGTGCTCCACCGGTGGTCCAAAGGACAAAGCCTCGGGCGGCCGACTTGTTTAAACATGTGTCTCTTTTTTCAAGGTGCCCTTTTTTGGGTGGCTCCTAAGGAAGCCAAAAGGACACTACCCATTTTGGAATTGGGTTCCCTATTTTGAGGCATGCCCATGTGGCTGTTTTGTAAGAAAACCCGCCCCTGCCCTTAAAACAACCCCCCTAAATTGGGTACAAAAACAAAAAACAAAAAACAGAGGCATGTTCACACCACGCCTTCAACAGCCTCCTTTTGGTTTCCAGGCCACCGGAACCTTTTAACAAACTTGGACCAATCAGAAGCGCCTCCACCACGTTCTGATCCTCGCTCAGAAACAGCTTGGTGAGAGGGCTCCTGAACCGACACAATTTGCCTCCAGCCACTGAACAAATATTGGAATTTGGACCCCAACGGGGGTTGCCCTGTTGGGTTTCCCGTAATCCAATCCCGGAAAAGGGGGCCCTAACACAAAACACACACCCAAACACATGCCGCTTGCCAAAGGAGGAACATGTCAACGATAGACTGATCTCTTGGTTCCCTTACAAACATGATGACCGGTCAACTATCTGGATATCCTTCGGGCAAGGACAAATCAACGTCAACTCTCCGCGCTGGTTTCGCACGTCATCAGCAGCAGCACATCGATAACGATCTCAATGGAACACCACCGGCAACACAACAAACGCCTGTCTCTTTCAGCCTTTCCTAAATCGGTGATCCCTACAAGTCGGCCGCGTAGCATCCCTTCCCTAAACACAACCAAAGACCAAAGAGGGGATTCTCTCGGACTCTACTGTTGATGATGTGCTAATTGCTGAAAGTTATGATCAGTGCTTCAAGATACCACTTTAGGTCCAGTTGGCAAAGATCTACTTACCTAACAATAGGCAAGTGGCAGCCTTCGGCTGTAGTGTAATCATGTCCTTGGGCTCGGACGCAAACAAAAAGAACTTGCTGCCTAATTTCAGCAGCTTTCTTGGACATACTCGCCGACCCCCAGCCAGGGTATTGGGATAAACGAAGTGATCATTCCCATCCACTAAAAGAGAAAATATCCCAAGGCTCCATCGGCGGAATTTGGGTCTCCTTGCACTAAAACGCTCTTTCTGGGTTGCCACCGAGGCGCACAATCGCCTTGGTGGGCGAGGTAAAGGTGAGATCCGACTCCAAGTCTCCACCCACCACCGCCTCGGTTTTGCGGCCAAATTTTCCGACCCAAAGCGGAAACGGCCCATAGACAAAGGTCAAGAAACAGGGTCCAGCATCATGAAGGAAGCCTTCAAGAAGTGGCTGAAGCACAAGCTGTTGTGGATCGGAATATATATATATATACATAACAGCAAAACAAAAAAACAATAGCAAACAAAAATCGAACAACAAAACAACAACACCAAAATATCAAAAACAAAACAAACAACATATTTGTTGAACACCAAGCTTTACAGCTCAGGTCCCTGCCTCGGTTACCAGCTTGGACAGCCAGTACAAAGGTCCCTCACCGCAGAGGGCACCAAAGATCACCTGGCGCTCCGATTTCGGCAGTCGGACAAACATTTGCTAACTCGGATACAAGAAATCAAAGCACACACTTAACAAGCTCTTCAAAACAAAGGGAACCCCACAGAGACGCTTAACCAACTGTTCAACAGCATCCTGTAAACATTGGTTGAGGTTTGGAGCCAGCCTGGCCACACGAACACAAAATGCGTCGACGCATTTCAAAGAAGCTGCTCGGGTCATTCCCTCAAACCACATGGGGGTTTTCTGGAACCCGAACAGGGGCACACTCCGACCCGAACCTCCAGGGGAAGCAAGGTCAGGACGGTGAGCATGTTGAACATGTCCTTGGAAACAACAAAACATTTAGGCCGATACATATGTGGACCCTCAAATAGGAACAACATCCCGCATATTGCATGTTCTTCCGCTGAATTTCTTTAAGCAAATGGTCCGCAACTTGCGCGGATCGTTTCATGCCTTTGCATGTGTCAATCAGCCCTTGGAGTTGTGAAACGCGATTTCCGCGGGGACATCAGAAGATACATAGGAATTTGCGGCACAAACATGGAAATCCCCAGAAATCTGCGGAAATCCACAGCGAGCCTTTTTGGTTGAGCGGTGTTGAAAAGCATGAACGTTTCTTTTCCGGAAAATACAAATGCGAACGTGCCATGGTCGTAGTTGGTTATACTCTTTACGGACATGGATAGATTTGAAGGCCCCCTGGTTTTCCGCATGACATTTCAAATCCCATGTCCCTCGCAAATGGACTAGACACTATTTGACATTTTGACCGAACCTCATCGTTGACCTGCCAGCCTTTAATTAATCCATTGCCAAGCCAACACACAAATTCTAAGTTGTTCCCCTTGACCAAGCCCGCCTTCCGGCAAAATTGATGGCACAGCCCCCCAAAAGGGGCCCTGCTGCTCGCGGTATGGCCATCCATCTGCAGCCGACAAGTCTATATCCTTACAAACAATTCATATACATATGTATGTGTATAAATATATATATATATATGTTTATATAAACACACACATATATATATATATATATATATACATATGTATTTGTAGCACAAACAAGAACTTGGGGATACCGACTCAGGCTCCCCTCCCTTTGCGCAGTTTGGGCTGGGGGTATGACAGCCGGCCGGTCTGCAGCTCAGGACTTGCAAATACAGACTCTTGACATAGGACATGGGCCGATTCCTATTTTGAGAAACCCAACCAGTTAGTATTGTTGCTATTGTTATTACTATGGTTATTATCATTCTCTTTGTTATTATTCTTAATAATTAATTAATTAATTGTGTTATTACTCCTCTTAGTGCATTATCAATATCATTATTACTATTATTACTATCATTGTCATTATCACTATCATTACCATGTCCTTGCTACAAAAACACTCACCCCCAAAAAGGCCCTAGGCAAATGGACGCCTGTGACAGCACCTCTTCCGCTTCCTTCGGCGTAGTCTCATGCACCGTGGCCCCGGAGAAGGCGCGCTCCAACTCCAGGCGATCGCCCGCGTGGGCCATGGAGACGATGGTATTGGTCACCTGCACCGAGTTTCTCGGTGCGGGGAACAGGGTTTTCCATTGGTTTACCATTCACTGCCTCTTGTTCCATTCATCAACCGGGTGTCCCGTGGTGAAATGTCGGGAATCAGACCACTTTTGGAGGGGAACACCCCACGCGCCCTATGAATAAACTAGTTGGTTGATTCATCTGGGGTCAACATTATCCTTCGTGCGGGAATGAGAAATGGTTTCTGACCAGTGGGCTTTTGGACAAATAGATGGCCCTGTGGAACAAAACCCATCTAAACCAGTGTCATCTATTCTTAACCAGGCTGGTGCGGCTAAAAAGCCAAGGGGTACCCATTTTTTCGTTGTTGTCTATTCTAGTAGGGGAACCCTCCCAACCAAAGAAGTGAAAAACAGCGCTGGCGGACCTTTCTGACCCTGGAAAAACCATCCATTTCCAACTTGGCTTCCTTCAAGGCGATCCCCAAAACAGGTTAGTAGCTCGTTTCCCCGCTGGTGTCCCTTTTTGAAAAATAGATGGGTTTCCCTCGTAGATGGAACCAGGTAAACCAGGAATCGACCTCCTTTCGCTGTCAAAACCAAAAGGGTCGAGATTTTTTTGCTTCCCCGCCTTGGCTAGTAAACTGCAGTATTCACGAAATGTACGTATTTTACACTAGCCTGTCAACATCATCAGCATCGTTTTCAACATTCCCCGCATGCCCAGCCAACATCCCCAGCATCACCAGTCACTCAAGGGCTCCTACATCCTCAGCATCATCAGTTCCTCTCTGGCATGTTAAAACGCAGCGGGCGGGTCCCCCTCATTACTGTAAAAGTGAGGATTCAAATACGGGTGCAATTTAATCCATGTTAACCACTTAAAAACTAGCGGGGGGGGGGGGGGTGGGGCGGAAGCCCCCCCATGATGTTTGAAAAAGTGATGACGGTCGAAAAAGTGTGATGATTCGATTAGGGGCAAAAATCTAAAAAGTAGCGGAGGGATTGGGGGGGGGGGCGGCAGCCCCCCCATGATGTTCAAAAGTGTGCTGATTCGATTAAAGGCAACAAAAACTAAGAAGTAGCAGGGGGGGCCATGATGATCGAAAAAGTGATAATTCAATAGAGGATTCGAAATGAACAGCCACAAAAGCCATAAGGAAAAGCCACCCACCCTGAAAAACAACAAACAATCCTTAAAACAACAACAAACAAATCCTAAAAAAATGGCCCTCCAAACCAAAAAAGACATATATGTCGTTACGATTTTCAAACGTTGAAAACATGGCACCTGGATCGGTCGCTTTTTCCTCTTGGAGGGGTGCCCACTCTCAGGCGCCACGTGGGACCCAATCAACAAGTGAGTCAGAATCAAAACCCATCGGTGCGGGAATGAGAAACGGAATGCCCCCTAGACAACCTTCCATTTCCAGTCTGGCTTCCTTTCAGGAACAGAAGGGGCCTTAAGGAAATCCCCAAAACCGGTTCATTCCCAACACCCGGAATGGTCATTCCCTACTGTAATCCCAGAACCATGCTTCAAGACATCGATTTATAGCAGGGATTATCCCTTAACCTTCATCTACCCCTTTTGATTGTGGCTCTCTGGCTTTTCAGGGTACTCCATGGTTTTGGGGGTTGAAACAGAAACCATCCGGAAGACCGAAGCCATTCTCGGAATTTCGCAATCCGATGTGCCGATGAACCACACAATCGACCAAATTAGTCTCAAGGCTTAGTCCTGAGACCATTCACTGCATCAACTGAGTGGATTTATCGAAAAGAATCCGACGTGCCCGATGGAGCTTACATAAAAACTAAAACATGGCAACCAGTATGGGCCCGCATTTCTTGGGGCGACCCCCTTTGCGGGTTGAGACAAAGCCATAACCACCCTCGCCTGATATACCGCACTTGAGGGTCCCCAAACGGGTACCCTGGAATTGCACAGGTCACTGTCTGCACCCAATTCGTGGGAGGGCTTGTTGGCCGATTTTATGCTCACCCCTGGTGGATAAACTCGTGAGAAAAGGGGACAACCACCTATTAATCAACCAGGGGTTTATGAATGGGGGGTTCCCACTAGCAGAACATAACATGCTGCTTGGGACATTTATGTGTTGGCCGTTGCTGACTTAACCCAAGAAGAAGCAATCGCAATCTAAAGACAGCAAAACGGGACAATCTCGACAGTTTCTACCAAACAACATTTCAACACTTGTTATTTTAGCAAAATAACACATATTGCGTTTTTTGCCTATCACCACGAACAACGACCAGACCGCAAAAAACAGCAATCATGGCAAGAGCAGCGAGAAAGGAAGACTCTTGGATCGAGCAGCGGACGTGCCGCAATTCGCCCCCATGATGATGGGAATGGCTTGGTGCACTGTCAACATCTCTGCCCCCACAAGGCCCACCACGATGCTGGTGCTGCTGGAGGAGGATTGCACCAAAACCGTGGCCAAGATGCCCACCATGAGGCCTGTGCGTGGATTCGGAAAGCCCCACTCGGTACTCAAAGTGTCGATTGGCTTCAACTCTTCGGCCTTTTGGAGTATTTGAATAAGACCCCCCCCATTATTACGCACCTGCCAATAATGCTCGAGATGATCCTTCTTGAAAGTATCACTGAGTGAGAGCCAAAATTAACAACAAAGGACAATACAAACACATCGTTCATGCTGGAAAAGTAAGAAAAAGAAACCGCCGCCAAAACCCCGCCTGCCTGCAATGGGATTGTTTATGAGGGTGAAGAGCTGCCCCGCACTCTTCCCCCCCAGGGCTCCGAAAGAGCCACTCATCAGGTCAAGGCCGAAGAGGAAGAAGTAGAGGGCCAACAGCACCCCCAGACTCTTCAGCGAAACTAAAGCGATCTTCCTGATGGATGTCTTCAGCTCGGAAGTGTCCGGCATCCCGCTTTTCTCAGTGCACCCGCTCGAACCTAAAACTAAACTGCACGCACATTACAGCAGTCTGAGGATTGCTCGGGTGTGAATTTCATTTTCATAATTTCAAAAGGACCCTCTTGTGGACATCACAGGAATCATGTCCTCCAACCAATTTCGATGTGGTTCCCTACAAATAAGAGCCACTCCAGCGAAATTGCGGCTTACCACAGTTGCATGGTACGCAAGACACAGCTTGAGGTGACCAGTGACGCCGTGATTCTGAACCTCCAACAGGCAGAACTTGATGAGTCTTGATGCCAATTCCGAAAGTGCCTCCCTTTCCTGCCCGATTTCACATCTTCCCTCTCTTCTTTTGGCCACCTCCAGCCTTCCCCCAACCCCCTGTTTCCTCGAATCCCTCCTACCCCTGCCTCAGCTTTGTTTACCCTCAGCCACAAACTATATCTTAATTCTTACAACCTAGAAATGCAACACAGCTTCAAAAGAGATCCAAGCAACCCTCCCCTCCCCCCAACCCCTCCCCCAACTTGCCTGTTGCTAGGGGGCTAGAGGGTCTGGAAAAACGAAAGAGCTACCCATCCTCGTTTGGCTTGTCTTTGGCGACCTCAACAAAGAGAGCGGCCAATTAGCACCCGGCTCTAACCCAACCCCTCCCCGCCCCATTTTCCCTCCTCCCAATCCCCCACTCCCCCCCCCAAAAAAAAAACCCAAACCCTCTCCAAACCCCTCCAAGACCCCCCCCCCCCCGGCCCAAAACGAACCCCCCAAACCCCTCTGCAGCCCAACCCCTCCCCCTGGACGCCCCCTGCGGTGAACTCCATCTCTTGGTTCAGCGTCGCGCTCTTCAACAGCTTGGAGAAGGCCGGGGTGTCCGTCTACGAAAATCAGAAAAAAGAAGAAAAAACAACGGCGGCACCCACGAAGCTCTGGAAAGCACCCGATTGTTTGCTTCTTTTTTCTCCCTCTGCAGCGAAGTCCTGAACATTGAGCACATAGTGTTTCTTTTTCGTCGTTTTTTTGGCACTTACTCATTGATGAATGCTTTTGGACACTTTTCGGATTGCGGCGAGGTCCTGAATTGAAGACATAGTTGTGTTTGTGCACTTACTCAATTTCTATGCGTGTGACTCTCGCAATCTTGCGCGCATATAGCCCCTGTGAAAACAGGTAGAACGACCACCTACTTTTGGAACTGCTCGTTGACCAAAGGCACCCGCCCCGGAAAAGGGGGGGTTGTAACAAAGGGAACCCGGCGTTTAGAGAACGCCCCGGGCAGGATTTAACTTAAATGGATTTCAGCGATTCGTTTTTGAAGGCATGGTTGAAGACATGGTGTTGAAGGCGAACAAAGAAAGCGGGACAACCCCTGGCAGCACGGGGCTGTGGGTTTTCCAAGACTGGAGACCCCAGCAGAGGGTGTGCCAAAAGCTGCCCCGAAGCCCTTCTCTCAACTGAGCTTAGTGGCAGCTGGGGCAAGGATCTGGTGTGAAAGCGAACCGAGTGGAACAGGCATGGGCGTAATACTGCGGATGGACACAATCCAATTCGCACCACTTGGAAACCATGGGAAACCATGGTTGGTCGGTATTTACAGGGGAATCAACATTCCAGGGTTTCTGAGGTGGTGCGTAATGGATTTCGTCCAGTATGGAGGGCTTGCAAAAATGACATACACCATGTCATGCATCTCCTTTTGTAGATAAACATGTGGGTTGTTTAGCACCCAGCTCCGTCCCGACTTGGCGGTTGCTTGGCAAAAGCCTTTCCCTGGCGCCCGTGATGCAGTTGTCCATCCCAGCTACTTGATCACCTTGCAGGAGGCGTGGTGTCACAAAAAGTTGACAACCATGTGGGCGTGTCCTTTTGTGAGGGTGCCTTGGTCGGTTAAAAGGGAAACGAGAAGGACACCAACCTTTTCGCGGGGTTGCCCCAACTTTCAGACGTGGCAATGTTGCTCTTTGCCACTCACAGCTTTGCTCGTGTTGGACTGTCAGCCGCTGGCCCAACATGACAACCCCAAAATGAGGGTACCCTCAAAACAAGACACACCCAACTGGATTCTCTCCATTCCTGGCCGTAGTTCAGAATGACAACTTGCCGAGTCAGGACGGTCGAAGCAGAAATCAAGCACATTTGTCAGAATGTTAGTCGTTGGCCTAGTGTAGATAAACCTTACAAGTACTGGTTTTGTGTTGGTTTGGTAATGGTCCGTAACTTTTCGTGTACCAAACAAACGGCAGCCCTTAGAGTACCTATAGAATCAGGCAACAGGTAAATAGGATCAGAACAAACCTCTAATCAAAGAACATGCTTGTCAGTTTGACCAATTTGTTCAGCCAACTCACGCCCTAAAAAAGCAAGTCTAAACACACATATCAATACAATATTGTGCAATCTTTATTCATTTTCTAAAGTGTATTTATATAGTCTTGGATAAGTTCTTCAATCTAAGCGTCAGCCACTTGTCTAGCTTGTGTCATTGTTTCTGCGTATTGTGTATTCAAAATATGACATCTCGAAGCGTTATTATGTCGAATAAACATATTGAAGCAACAGCTAAAGAATTGACCAATAAAGCTTGCTTAGATTACGCAGGTGCAGGTAAGCTCATTGCAGGGCAATTAGGTGCTAAACAAATTACTGCTTCTGAGCTAGACGTTTTAGGCATCGATTGTAAGAACCATCTTGTAATCGTGTAATTACCCGTAGGAAAGTCTCGTAATTACTCAAATGTGTTGTTTGTTCATACTAAGTAACATTGGTTAACTACGATAACATATGCATGTATGGTTTTAGAATATGACTTTGCTTAACTTTAAGAACGATATACTTGTTCAAAAATAAATGGATGCTGTTCAACTGATGTAGACATTTTGAGTCGAAGATTACGTTCGAAGTCGACAAATATGCATTAAGCCAAAAAAACACGGTTTTCTAGTACAGAAGTTGCGACGAGATTCATGCCTTTCTGTACCAATGACATATAGCCCTGTAGTGGTTTTACTGATTCGGATTCTTGTGTTTGTGACTTGTCGTACTTAAGTTGTTTATGTGAATCAAACACATTACTTATTCTAAAATACTATATCTCACCACTCCTTTCCAATACCTGAAAATCCCAAAGACCATACCCAGCCGAACAACCAAGATCAAGCGGCTGAACTTTAACCAAACTTTTCTCACCCCAAGTAGAAGCACGAAAAGACTTGGCCTCAACATGCCTTAATAGCCTGGAGATTCAGCCAAGTTGCCATGGGATACTGCTGGACACTTGATGTTTCCAACCACTTCCCTTGCGTCCCCTAAAAGTCCCGCGCCTGAAATCGGCTGTGGACCTCAAAGGCGAGCTTTGCGCCCCTTGCCTGAACGACGACTCAGAGAAAACAAGAGATCGGCAAACAGAACTCCTATCCGTGACTCCTTAGCTCCCTCTTGAAAACAAAAATTGGATACCCCAGCTCCTTGGCTCCCTTCCAACCATCGGCTAGCCTCACTTGGGATTGACCATCCCCTTCACTTACTCACTTACCTGGGCTGCCCTCAAATCCCCCGCTAAAAGTTTAACTTTTAGTGGGTTAAGTGGAAAATACCACCAAACACTAAAAGGCTAAAAAGCTAAGGAACCGGATGGCTGGGAGCCACCAAGTTAACAGGAGTCGACTTTACCCTACCGTCGAACAACGACGCTGACCAAGATGGAGAAGTCTCGTGCAAGGTCCAGACGTCGAATATATGTCTTTGATTTCTTGCCTGAGCATGGGTGCGGCTCCAAAGGGGAAACCCCTCCATATTGGATTCCACTGGTCTCCTTTTACCTTCACAGCGGGTAATGGCATTGACTCATTCGCATTGATCAGTCCATGGTTGACACTACCAACATAAAAAATACCATATCGTTTCTCTTTCATTTCCCTTGCAAACCCCGGAAAAGGGTTAACAACTCCAAAGAGGTCACCAACCTGCCTTTCAACCGCCGAACAAAGTCACTCCAACAAGATCATCCATATCCGTGGCAAGTTCTCTTCAAACGCCATGTTCGCCTCAGATTTTTGGGGCGCTTGGGGTTTCCAACATCGACGGCTCCGAGTCTCTCCGAAACCTTCGCGAATTCCGGCCTGGGAAGGCCTGATGAGGTTCCCCGAAAGGACGTGGACCTGCCGCATCAAAAACCACAACCACCCAATGGGTTTGCCTTTCGTTGCTCATCTACAAACTGGGGTGGTTTTTTGTTTTTAATGGATGCAGTTCGCTTTCTGAAGTGAGCGCTGCCGTCGTTGTGCCTGCTTTTTCTTTTCTGGGGGCGAAGGGTAATCACCCTTTTCGAGGTGGGTTAAAAGGCAAACACCGAAATCTCAAGTTGGGTGCAAATCCCTATTTCGACACTTACTGGGATACAATTTGATGGGTCCTTTTGAGACTCATCAAGGCAGACACCTGTTTTCGGTGAAATCCAGTCCACCGACTCAGTGGTTCTCTGTGAAATAGGCCAAACTCCGGACATGTGGAGCCATGGAATTCCGAAGCTCTATGGTGCCCTGAACGCCCTGCACGGCCCGCACTCCAAAAGGAAAGTAGCCACTCCAAAAGGGCTCCGCGGTGGCCTGCGCACTTCCATATAGCGAGGGTGCTGGTTGTGACCCATGTTTTGGTCTCCCTTTAAACCAAAAGGGAGGCTTGAAACGAAGACACACACACACACAAACACACAAACGGCACCACATTCATCACCCTGGCAGCAGACGATGTGATCAACAACCGGGAAGGTGTATGCATCACTCTGTTGTGCTCGTTGATAAGGGGCAGTCACGTATCATTTGACGGCCTAACGTTTTAATCACATGCAACCTTTGTATCCAGCCCCTCCCACCACTGCCTTTTCCTATTTTTGGACATCACTTGGAGTTTTGGACGTGGACAAAAAGAAACTGCCGTCATAGGTTGTTGGATATGGTCTGTGTCTCTTGCCACGTTGGAAACTAGGCGGTCCACCAAAAGCGGTGCTGAGCGGCGAACACATACTGCCGGTACCATCTACATGTATGTGTGCACACATGTATATATATGTATATACATATGTATATGTTGTATGTGTATAGAAATATACACATACATTACGTGTTTGTTTTTTGCCTTCCTGGCTCAATGGCTTAATATCTGCGACTTCAAGGCCCCACATCTTCGTGCAAGCCTTGGCTTTCTGGTAATGGTGGCTCGTAATCTCTGTGGAAGCACAACCCCAAAAAGGCTGGTGGTCCTTTCGAAGCTTAAAACAACAAAAACACTTTGCAACAACCTTGGTTGCTGTTGACCCCCATGCAAAAAGTTTAACTTTGTAGGGGTTTACTGGAAAACTCCTTTATTTCCCCAAAAGTTAAAGTCTAAAGATCCAACCCAATAGCAGTCAAGCAACAGTGTACCCTCAAAGACACCTACCAAATGACACACAAGCGCGAGAGCATTGCCCGCCCTCGACCGCCTGGGCGGCGTCATAGAACCGTTCAAGTGCCGACTCCCAGCTGAGCTTCGCCTACGAAGCGCAGCTTCGGGTTGGGTATGTGTTCAAATACGGGGACCGCCCAAAAAATGGCAGCCTTCCTTTTGGCTCAAAAAACTGGCATCCAAAAAACACTCCCAAACAAGCAGCTCCTTTTGGTTCCCTGTCAATGTGGGATTGAAGCTGAGGGCGAGGAACTCCCTCTTGCCCCCTCAGATCACATCTTTCGGTTCAGAGAGAAAGGCACCGAATGCATTTTAGCGTTTACCCGCAAAAACTGAAAAGAAGTCCTGCAGCTTGAGTCGGCCGTGGCGTGATTTTTTGACACTGGAATTCAAAGAGGCTTCTCCAGGATGACCTGCCTGTGATTGGATGCGTTCTGGTACGAAAGCTTGGTCAAGGGGGCGTTCTTCAGGAACCAAAAACACTTTTACGAGTGCGTCCCCTTCGCAGGGACAAAACTTGATTGGTTCCAAGAGTTCTGGGTTCAAGATTGTCAGTTGAGATTCAGAGCGTTTTCTTTTACAGTTCAGACGGTGACCTAGGCCGTTTGCGCAGCAAGTTGTCACCTTGAGGGGGGGCCTGAGGATGGGCCGAGTACTCCCACCTCGTTCCACTCGTCGTTTCACAAAGTTGGGCCGAGTGCGTCGAGGGACATCCCCTGAAATACAGCGCAGGTCACTTCCAAATGTACATGATGCATCCTACGTTGCTCCGCCTCGCGCCTTTGAGCCACGCATATTCTTTTTGGTTTGTTCTTTGTTTTCTCCTCTTTTTTTCTTTCCTTCTCTCTCTCTCTCGCTCTGTGGATTGGCCAAACACAGATCTCCCTGAAAGCTTAACCTTTTGCAATCTTGACTAAACATCAGAGAAACAAAAAAGAAATCCAAAAGGCTTAAACGTTCAAAAGGTTGGCCTTGGGCAAGGGCAGGTGAGAAATCCATGCTTTTTGCTTCTATCTGCCTTTCCAATTTGGGTCTGTCCCCTTTTTTTGGTACTCCATTTTCTTGATTTTCAAGGGACACCACAGGACAATCACCATCTTTTTTCTGGGGGGGTCCAACCTTAGAAAACTTTGCAGGGCTCAGATTTAAACTTTAGTGGGTTGAATGGAAACCCCCACTAAACGCCAAAAGGCTAAAAGGCTAAAAGGCGAAGGAACCGGATGGCTGGGAGCCATCCAAAAAAAAACATACAGGGATCCTTACACACCTGAACATTGCCTTGTCAATGGTGGTTTCCCCTTATGGTGGTGGAAAAAGCCATGTTTCAAATGGTTGCAAAATGTATCTTTTAAGGAGCCCTGACATACCTCCCCAGTCGCTCGAACCAAAGCCTTGCTCTTTTTTCTGGCCTCCGTGTCCGGCGGCAGCGGCACAGGCGCGTCGCTCTGCAAAGCGGCCTGGCCGTCGAAATCTGGGTTTCTGCAAGTCACCGGTCCCCGGGGGTTCTACAAAACGTTTTTTTTTTTTAAGGGGTAACTTCCATTTCCATTCTTTCCAAGGATCCTTCTTTCCAGAAAACCACCAAAAACCCTAGGGAAATGGCTGGTTTTTGAGAAGAACTGTGGCTGAAAGAATGGGGAATCAACCCATAGAGTTGTGTTCTTCCTTATCGTTTTACGGGGTTTGGGGACACCACACAAAAAGTCCTGACGCAACTGCAATTGGGGAAGTAAGAAAAACAAGCCCACCTGCTCACATGAGATGCGGTCATAGTCTTCTGGTCAATCGGGAAGATAGTGGCTCGCATGCTCGTGAGTCACACATGCCGCCACTCTCAACGTTGGGATCCTTGGGACTGCTGTCTGAAGACACGCAAGTGCCAATGCAATAAAAGCACGCCTTGCCACCCGGGGAAAACCACAGAGAGGCACTTGCTGTCAAACGCCCAGAGCAACAAATAACCCTTTGAGGGTCCGGCGGCTCCTTAGGAGGTGGGATACATTGAGAGTTTTCATGATTTGTACTCCAGGGGGAGTATCGAGGTTTGCAGCCTATTTGCTGATTTACGGGTGTTGTGACTGCTACCATGTCATGCCCTTGGCACAAACAGTTGGCGAATGTTCACCATTTCACGCATTTGCCTGGCTCCCAATGTCGGATACTTCCGCATTTCGGGGTGCAATATGCAAAAACGCGGAGAGGTTCCCAGTACTCCAGTCGAGCTTGGCGGCAAGTGCAACCAAGTAAACACCGGCTGATCTGCCTGTCGTTCTTCCATTTTGACATCGGCGGTCGGTTCTATACAGCGACCTGCCAGAAGCTACGATAGCCCTGTACAGCGCGAAGGCCACAGCAAGTTGGCATCTGCGAAAGCTGTGGCTCGCGCGGGAAATCCAAGGCAGGCCACGTACGGGCTCTGCAAGGAACGTGCAACAAGTGTCAACAGGTAGGATTCGCTGTGACGAACAATACCCCACCCAGTGCTTCCAGGCAAGCCAAAGGCAATCCTTTGGTATTCAGAGTTCTTGTCTCGAGGTACCAAATGATACCTGCTCCTTCCAGCTGCGGATGGTTTCCCTGATTACCAATTTGGCTTGCCTGGATTCACTGGGTCATCTAACACCTATGGTCATGCATCAAATCGGTGACAGCTCCACCTCGACATCGAGGCTCTTGTTGTTGTCCAGCAGGCTTGTCAGGTCCCACAACTCCCCCAGCGGGCAGCAGGAGCCTTGGTCTGACGTCTTCGGTTTGGGCAAGGTGATCTCACCAGTCCAGGGAAATAGCCCCAGTTACCCCATAAAAGACACAGACTTGTAACCCAATGGACATGCATACTTAAGTGGGCTGAACAAAGTAGGCGCGATAAGTTAAGTCTTGCTGGTTGAAAGGAGAATGAAGAAAACCCACAAGGGCCTTTGAGCGCAAACATGTCAATTGAGCAGGTCCCGGAAAGATGCATTTGAACCATCAACAAAAACAAACCAAACACTTTTCAGCCGGTTTTAGAGAATCCGAGCCCTTGCAATGCCTTTTGGATGTATCTTTGGACGCCGAATTGAAGTCACGGAGCTCTCATTGAAGTCATGGCGGAACGGCCCACGGGTTTCCATGTTGGCCCCAGTGACAGTGACGCGCGCCTGGAGCCGGGGGACAAGCCTCAGTCTCGTCCAACGCATCGGCTGAAAGAGTTCCATAAGCCCAGAAAGCGGCTCGTGAGCATTTTGGGGCAGCTTTTAGAGAGGGTTCCGGAAGCTTCCAAGGGATTCCTGGCGGTTGGGGTTGCCACCTGGCCGGGCATAAATGCTTTTGAAGACTTCAAAGAGGAGCTCCCAAAGGCAGCAAGACCACCCTTCTTTTGGGGGATTGCTGTAAAGGGACGGTTGGAAACGTTCCCCCCCCCAAAAAAATAAAACGTTCCCCACCCGCTTCCCCTCCCGCACCCCCCCCTCAAACAAAAAAGACAAACAAATAAAGAAGAGAACAACTAGAAAAACAAAGAAGGGCATGAAGCAGCCCGAGAAGCTCCGAGCACTGGCACTTCAGGAAGATGCGTCCAAAGCCCTTGGCCTTCGCGAATCCCTGCTGGTGCTTGCCGCGGGTCTGCTTGGCCAGGATCATGATACGGAACGATGGATCCACATGGAAGAGCGGAGACAACACCTGGAAGAGGCTTGTGCTTCAAGATGTGGCTGCGGGTCAAAACGAATGGTCTTGGGGTAGGTGCACCACCCATTTTAGTCTATTTTAGTGGTTGGATTGGGATGTTCACTGGGGGTACGATTTGGCATTTGACCCATGGCCATGTCACTTCTTGTGTTGACCTCCTCTCGGGCAACCCACGGTGTCCGAATCGAAGAACGCCATAGCCGCTATGTGCCAACCCGTTTCGACCCCCGCCTGCTTCTCCGACGTCTGCAGCTTGCGCCCCTCCACGCGCCAGCGCATCATCCGGGGACTCGCAGCGGGAACGACAAAGGGCACCAGCCGCGAGACGTGAGGCTTCGCCAAGATCGGCTCGAAGGGGTCGAAGGTGAGTACTTGAGTCACCTGACTGAAACACAGACTTTTTTTAACCCAGTTACACCAGTTTGTCGACTAACAATACAAAAGCAATCTGTGGTCCACTGGGTTTCTCATCTGCCGCACCTCATCTTCTTCGCTGGACGTCTCCTGCGTGGATGCACTCGAGAGCTCGTCCTGGTCCTCGAAGAAGTCCTTCCATTAGGTTAAGACCCCTGGAGAAAAATATAAAATATTTCCAGTAGTGATCAATTCCTTTTAAAACCAACAAAGGAAAATAGTAAACAACATATTCTTAAGCAAATGGAAGAGTCATAGGTCTTCCAGTGCGTCACTGGCACAGCGCTCGGCGTGGCCTCTTCCAGGGACATGGCTTCGAATGCTTGGGCCGGGCTGCAGTTCTCCACATCGGCGTGGTATAAGATCGGGAAGGGATACCCTCTCTCCCACTAACATGGCATCTGACAAGAGGTCCCTCCAAGAGGAAACTGATCTTCCAGGTACCGTCCCACGGGTGCTATGTTAGCGGGAGGAAGGGATACTAGCCGCAGCCCTATACCTCCATTGGATCCCTCTGGGAGTGTTTGGCTCATGTCGAAAGCTCTGAGGGTTAGAGGTCACAGTACTTCCTTCGGTGCCTCGGGAAACGCTCTCACGCCAAATTTGGGAAACGCTCGATCGGTGCTCTGATATCAACTCTTGACTCGCGCTCTTGGTTTTGTGGTCGGGAAACTTACTCGTTTTAGTCCAACTTCACAGAGAAGGGCAAGTTGCCAAGTGGACATGTTTAGTTGGAAATCAAGTGGAACAAGAAGAGGGGAGAAGGCAAACAAACAAACAGGGAGCAAACAAAGGGTGCAACCGACATCGGTGGGCTGTTACTACAAAAGGAGCGGGATGGACTATGCCCGTATTGTGAAGTCCCTACATCGAGAAGGTGTCTGGCTCACCTCTTCTCCTGATTAAATCTGTTCGGCAAATTGCCTTGTCCAACTCACCTTTTTGAGTCTCCTGGGATCCGGAGTCCACTGTTTGTGCGAACTTGTGGGGGATGTTCTGTTCGATGTTTTGGCCCACTCTGTCTTGGATCAAATTAAATCAACTGTGGCAGACACTAGAGTCACTAGGCTGGAAGAAGAAGGGTATGGTGAAGTCCCTGGAAGAAAGTTGTTTTCTTGTTTTTTTTCAGTAGTCATAGATTCCCTTTAAAACCAGCAGGGGAAAATTCTAAAAGTATTCATTTCAGCAAATGGAAGTTGATATGTATTATTCTACCCTGAAGACAACATACTTTTGGGGGAGCTCGTGATGGTTTAAAGCTCGACTTGCAGTGCCTCCAGGGCTCGGTGGAACGACTCTGCATCCTGGCCGGGCGCCAAAAACCAGTACCCAGGCGACCCCTACGGATCCAAAAAAAAACACATATATATATATATATACCTATCTATCTATGTATGTCTTTTTTATACTATACATGTCTTTTTTTAGGGGGACACCCTAAAATGGTGGGTTTCCTTTTGGTGTCCCTTTCAGACAGCCAAATTAAGGGAACTCTCAAAAAAAAGCACACCCAACGGGTTCCCTAAAGAGATGCGAAATAACAGTTCTCAGCCCCTAAAAATGAGACATGGTCTGTCAAATGGGTGCCCTTCGTGATGGATTGAAACGGACCTGCCCTTGTGAGTTGTCCTGAGCTTGGACACCCCATGTTGCTTGCTAGTTGAACCATCCCCGACGCATAAACTGGTTAATTACACCAAAGAGAGCACAGGAGGGAACATGGAAACCAACCCTCTGGCCGAAAGCCTTCGATCAGTTCTTCGTTCTCCGGGTCAGCTGAAACAGCGAGCCATGTGGCTTTATTAGGCGATGTTGGGTTCAAGAGTTGCCACTTTTTGTTATATGGGTGTCTTGTTCAAACTTTCAAAAGCTGGTTGTTGTTCAACATTGTTTAACCCGTCCACAAGCATAATTTTCCGCTCCGTGATACGAAGGACATCAATCCACTGCGGAGTGGGAATATTATCAGTTGGGATAGGTTCGGACCAGTCCAGAAGCGAGCAAGTGGGTGGCACCTTTTGCGCAAAAATGACAAGGAACACCAAGCCCAGACTTCGAAGGTGTTTTCCTTGGAGAAGTGGAAATTAATGAACCCCATGTCATTGGCGTCCAAAAGGAAGGGAACATTGGGTCTGGCCCATGGTTTTTCTGAACAAACAGATTCTAACAGAGCTCGGCTGCTCAAGGCGGAGGGAACATGCCCATTCTCCTCATTAGTGCAAGATGTCCGGTACGACTCCGAACAGTCTTTGCAGATCTTGTAGACATCCCTCCCGGCTTTTTCCAATGTGAGCTCCTCCAAATCGAAGAAGTGGCACCTGTCCGCAAAGTGCGCCTCGGAGCAATTCGTGGGAGCCCAGGGTTGCTCATTTTCCCAATTCCATAGCGAGGGGAGGGGCGGGTGAGCAAAATCAGTTCCATTTATCTAATCTTGTGGCAAAAGGAACAAGGAAGTACAAACAAATTTCCAGGCGTTCAGCCCCTCCTCCAATGTCCGTTGCCCAAGAAATCCAGCCGTGTACATGCGGATGATTCTTCTACCACAAAGGAACTGCCGAATCCTAGAACCAACAAAACATGGCCGCGTAGGGCATTGAACGGCGCACTCACCCCCACGAATCAACCTTCTCCAGTTTGGAGACTGCTCATGGACGTGCGTCACCAACAGGGGCTTACTGCCGTGGGGCTTTTCTGAAGGGTACCCTTTTTGGAGTTGGTTTAAAGGGAAACCACAAGCCAACTAAGCATTTCGGGGTCCCTAAAAAACACACACACCCACACACACACACACCCCTTTGCCGTTACTGTGGCGAAGCCAGGTCTCGGGGGCTCCCCCTATGACTGGTACTGGGCAATTCTACAAAAAATGCAAACTCTGCTCAGGCAGTCTGCACAAATCCGCAGATTTTTGTCAAGCTCTCCGTTGCACGATGAAAAACGCCCTTGTCATTCCAACAAGAAGATTCCCTTCCCCATGAACTATATGGGTGTGCCGATTGTTAGGAATCGGAACCGGCAAAGTAGTGGGCCTCCTTTTGGTTCTCCTTTAAGCCCCCAAAAAGGGTACGGGCCTCAAAAAGAAGACACGCCCATGTAACAATATTTACAAGCTACAAGGGGACTCGCCGGCCCCCTTTCCAAGGTGAAGAACAAACACCGTGTCGCAAACTGGGATTCCCTTCCCGGAAAAAACAAAGACATAGGAAACATGCCTTATCACTTTGAAGGAGAACCCGTCGCTGAACAGTGGCCGTCCGCGCCTTGAAGTATGCGTTGGAGGGGTGGTCCGGCAGTACCTGGCTCTCTTCCCTCAAACCTCCCCCTGTTTTGGGGGAAATAAACCAGGGTGCTAAATCGTACCATCGTTCGTTTAAGCAACCAAGCACGAGAACCCCGAAACAAACAAGAAGAAAAGAAAAGCGCCAAGTTGTCAAGTGCAAGCCTACAGCTGGACCCATGGAGCACAATGTTGCGCCCAAACGGAATACTCCAGCTCACCAGCGGCGAATGCAATGCGCGTCGTGTTCAATGGGCTCCAAGTCTGCCGTAGTGAATTGCGGGATGAATGCACCAAGAGATAGCCTCGGGCTGGCTGCATTGCGGCCAGGGTACTTACATTGTTATGCTCTACTCGATTACACGAGATGTGTGGCTACATTGCCTGGGTGCAAAGGAAGAGCATGTTTACACGTGTGATATACCTTGATGATTTGTCCTACAAGGCGTCTGGTCTTTGATGCCACTTCTCACCCACCACGGCGAGAAGTGGCAATGGACCAACCCAAAATTCTGGGACAATGTAAGCAACCATCGATCACACTATTCCCTTTCAACTTCTGTGGCAAATCAAAACTTGGGCCCGTTCTTTGGGATGGCTTTAAAAGGACGACACGAATTTCAATACGAAAGTGTCCCTTGTGGCAGCCGTGTAGCTTTCGTCCCTTTGCATACCAAAGGGAGATGTGCCAACAATTCATGCAGTGACACGCTCAAACAGAGCCCTTAAGTGGTGAAAGGAACAGCCAACAAACATATCAACCAATAAATCAGAACCCTCCACACACACATTTAGGACCCAACAAAAATACAACTGAAGAACCCTCCGACTACCACTCTTTGAGACTCCTCCCATTCTTCCTCGCGCGCACTACGCGCTTGCCCATGGCCAGCGCTTCCGCCGTCACGGTGCCTACCGCGAAGAAGATCTCGCGATAGGAAGCCATGCCACCCAATTTATGCGCCCCTTGACATTGGGGGATTCAATTTTGCAGGTGTGAATCCGGCACCCTTTGGTGGACATTGGGATTCTTGTCCACTTTGGAGGTGATTTCCTATTGAAACTCCCGCAATCAAGACGAACCCAAACCCCGTGTCCGTGATTTCCCCATCAGGGGTAAAACATAGGTTTCTTCTTGGAGAAACGGCCCCTTTACAGCAGTGGCTCGCTTCACTGAGACTGGTCCACCGATGTTGGTTTCACTTTGGAGCTAACATGTGCACACTTAGGAGTAATATGATTTTGCCGTGACCGTGAGGCGTGCAGTAGATCATGCAATCGCCTCACCATCACTGGCCCCAGTATTTCACCCTCGTCAAAGTCAACACTACGTGGCTCGTTGAAGAAGCCCAAGTTTCTTTGAGAACCCCTAGAAACATACAACAATGACCCTTAACTAATCAGGCGGCTTCTTTCTGATGCAACTTGGCAAGGCCCCGGCAAAGCATCTCGGTCGTTGAGGCATTCAGAAGAACCTGCGCAACTCCATCCGCGACAACTTGAGTCACGATGAACACCCGGTATTATGGTCGTAATCCCAGAAGCATGCAAAGAATTTCCCTTGCCAAGCTTCAACCCGGGTTTTGATGGCTTCCTTTCACAGGCCTCGCGCTAGAGGACCCCAATACCATCACTGTCATGCTGCTCTGGCGCAAACCCACCAGGCCATTCCAAAGGCAGTCTCGTGAACTAGAGCTGAAAGGTGCCAGCTGTTCAACTGGAAACTCGCGAGGGGAACCATCCATGGTAAACCCCAAGCTGGCAGCACTGGGCAGCATAAGCCTTTGATGCTGCACCTTGTACTGCTCGAACTGCTTCTCTGAGTGATTGCGGCCCGCGAACATATGCATCAGCCTTGGTGAACGCACATCCTGCGAACTATACGGATCATTATACCCCCACGTGCCTCGTAGAAAAAGGGAACCCTGTTGGATCTTCCTGCAATAACCCAATAATACAATACTTAGGGAAGCAACAACAACTGGCAGCTGGGTGAAACCAGATGGCAGAACTCCCGCATTTTGGCTTGGTCAT